ATAGAGGGGGCAGCCATCCTTGGGCTATGTGCCAAGCTCTTATCGCTGATAGGTATTTTCGTGCGACACTAACCGAGATTGGCTCGAAGGGAGTCTGACCGGAAATCAGCAGTATTGAGTCACCACAGTCAGGGTCAGTGACAGCCCATAGCGCGAAGGAGTGCAGCAACTTGAATGATGCGGGAAGGTGGTTAGACTCTGGGATTGAGAAGATGTCACAGAATAAGTGGAATTTTCGGAGGCCAGCACCATAACTTGCAGTGTCACGGAGAGAGGCATGGCTGGCTCTGCTGGTGTCACAACCCAATAACGAATTAACGCTGGGCAGAGACTAGGACTCAAACGAAGGTTATCGGACGAGAGGAACGATGAGCAAGTACGTCTTGGATTGCTACAATGTAGATACAAGAGGTTTGAACTAAGGAACTATCAACCAAGACATGCTACCTATATACAACTTATTGAGACGGAGATTGAAACTGAGTTACAACTACTAGCCAATCATAAAAAGAGAAAGGGAATCGTACCATAGAACATTGTAGAATATTAAAGAAGCATCACGTGACCATATCTTATCTTATCGTATCTAATCTAATCTATTCACAATCAAAGAACTCGTCTTCTTCATCAGTCACATTGAAGACACGTGTTGTGGGCGCTAAAGGTATTTCGGGAATGATAGACGCTTTCAGGGTAGGGTTAGGGTTTGACTTAGGCGCTGTGTATTGGCGCTTAGGAAGATTCAGGAAAGAATAATGGTTTGTTAAAGGTACTCGTGACAGCTGGCGATGAGCTGTGCTACCTACTTTTCTCTAGTGTTTCTTTACTTTACTTTTTCATTAGGATGCTTTGACTCACCTGACACTTCAAAAAATTGTACCCATAGGGTATGATGTCATTATGATGTCATAAGACTCCACAGATACTCCTGCAGGTATTCTGTTGAAAGATATTATGTCATCAAGCTCTAGATTATTCTATTCTACAATGACATCATCCATGATGTCATTTCCTTCTAGAATATTCTGCTCCACAATGATGTCACTCTTGATGTCATTATGATGTCATTACTCCACAATCCAGAATGTTCTGCTCCACAATGATGTCATAGCTCCATCTTTCACTTGTATTTTATTCTTTTATTGGGTTTGACCCAATATTTTGATTGGTCCTCCTTATTTTTTATTGTTTGTGAACCTAGGTTACTTTCCCACACAAAATGTATATAAGGAGAGCCCATTCTCCCCCCAAAAAATATGATCTCCCATTTATAGCAATCTGCCTATCAGATATTTCACTTGCAAAGTTAGTCCCTTTGAAGTGAGACAAGTGCAGGGAAAAGAATTCCCTTGAGATTATAAGTTTCTTACCTTAGAAACTTATTAGTGCTATAGACCAAGCGTTCTTGGTCACATATATTGTCTTTGAGACCCCTTTGTCTCATTGCTCTGTGCCCTTTGACTAAGCGATCTTAGTCATCTATCATATTGTTGAGACCACATCTCACTAGTTGTCCCATAGACCAAGTGATCTTGGTCAAGTTATAGTCCCCTTTGTTCAAGCGATCTTGAACATATATTGTATATTTGAGACCATTGTCTCACAGTCAGGTGTCCATAGACCAAGCAATCTTGGTCATATTTCATATATTTGAGACCACGTCTCACTAGTTCCAGTATCCAAGTCCAGAGCCTAGAAGGAGATTTCCTAGGCAAATACATTCCAGAAACCGAATTACGTGTCTAGAAGCTTATTCCTAGACAAGAGATTTGAGTTTCAATAAAGAAAAGTAAAGCTCCGGCTAGGTTGTGTTATGACTTGGATGGTATCTGTTGGCGACGCTCAAACAGAGCGTGTGTCGTCAACGGTCGAGGACGTCCTTGGGCTAGCCCAAGGTTAGGGGTCTTACTTGGCGAGACTTTGGCAAGTAAGATTTGATGCCTATGTCCAAATCGGGTAGCTTATGTCAAGCAGGTGCTTGACAATAAGCGTTATCAGCCGAAGCTTACGACACCCGAAGGTTAATCGTAAGATCGTCGTTAATTAGAAGGACAGAAGTCCGACTAGTTAACAGGGGCTTTGTTCATCGATGAAGTTGATGAGCAAAGATCGAGACTAAGGACTTATCCGTGATGAGCAGATAAGAAGATAGAATATAGACTGCTGGCTAGGCAGAAAGGATCACTCTGGTGAGAGTAGGAGGTCAAGAACCAAGTAGATTCAAGTTAAGGAATAAAGTACATGGTAGCGAGTTTATATAGAGGACAGGAAGCATATTAGTGGGTGATAACTCGTACTACCAATTGAGGTAAGCGGTAAAGGGTAAGACCATAAAAGGAAAGCACATTTGAGATGAGACATGGGCGAGTCTGAACGTGCAGATAGGGAAGTGAGTCAGAAATTGGAATAGGAAGTGAAATGCGCAGGGGCACGATCGTGCAGCTGCGGAGCTAAGTATAAGTACGCATGCGCGGCTGCGCATCGAGTCATAGATCTAGAAAGGGAACTGGGCAGAGGGGGCACAGCATGTGTCATATCATAGGTTACCGTCCGGACAGTAAGGGTAAAGAGGCTGTCCACAGGATCAGTCAGGTGGAGGGACGGAGTATGGGTATGCTTCATCAGCAAAAGGATCCGGCCAAATGTATTGGCTCTGCTGCAGCGACAGGTAGAGGGCAAAGGGGAATGCAAGGATGACAAGGATGACAAGGGCGAGATCAGGGTAAGGGTGTGATGCGAGGGCTGATACGAGGAGGATGAGGAGAAAAATGGTAGGGGCCCAAGCGTCTAGATGTTCTTGTAACAGGTTGATCTTTATAAAAAGATTAGTCTAGTAAGCCTCCCAAGAACTCACACGTTATCTACCACGAAATAGGAAAAGTCATAGACCGTGTTAATCGAGGACTGGCAAGCAGTCTTATCCAAAGTGTAATTGTGGTGTCATTACATTTACACGACTTTATATAAGACCCTCGGTTATTAAGACAACGCATGCAGCATTCGGCCTGGAGTTGGTAGAGGTGCTTCAGCACCACATTCGTCTTGTGGCTGCGGGAACAGCCTTTGTTGGTAACAGCGACCACGCCAGCATTGTCTGACCATACGAGGAAGCAGAGGTTTGATGGAGCGTTCCTGGAAATGACACCTTGAACAAAAATTAGACAGACTGCGAAGGTGGAGTGGAGGAGACAAAAATACCCAAATGGAGGGCAGCACGAAGTCTGAGCTCTACAGCAACTGCTTCTGCCCAACCGATGTCGAAAGCGTGTGATGGCCCGACTTTGAAGTGCGGTGCCCAGCGCCAAACGGCCCAATGGCCTTGAATGACAATGCCGATTCCGAATGAGGTGCTGGCATCGCCCCACCATCCAATATCCACTGGAGAAGGGTTGGCCAACAGGACGTGATTGGGGAGGAGTGAAAGTAATGACTGGATCCAAGGGATGTCCGCAGAAACCACAGAAGATGGGCGTAGGTGTGTGCGCGCTGAACAGAAGCTCGCTGCAAAAATCGCAATTGAACACAAGAAAGGGCGTATCAAGGGGAAGATACAAGCTACATGCACTAGTTTGCCATGAAGCCCTGCGGCCTCCTTTGCTGTGAAAGATGCGCCCTTGAGCTGCCAGCTGGATAGTAAGTCCTGTATCTTGCGAAGTTTCTCCTCTGGGAGAGATATGAGTTTGAGGTCGAGGTCCCAATTGAACCTGATATACCTTTGGATTGAGGCAAAGCGACGCAGCTTCTCGAGACTCCATGGGATTCCACAGTAGCTTGTTAGAGCTATGAATTCCTCCTCGGTCCAAAACTGGTGGGGAAGCTTGACGACAAAGAAATCATCCACCCATTTTTGAATTAGACTGAAACCAGCCTTGCCATAGATTGCTACTAACATGTCTGCGACGGAGCCAAAGACACCTGCGCTGGACGTGACACTGAACATGAGTGCATGATCTACGTAGACGAGGCCTTTCCAGAATATGCAGAGGGAGCTCTGCTGGGATGGCGATACAGGAATAATGCGGTATGCGGAGGAGATGTTGAAGGTTGCAGCAACACAACCAGGTGGTAAGGAAAGAATAAGGGTAGCTGTCTTGTCGAATGTGCCCCAAACTGTCAGGAAGTCATCCACGCTGATTCCAGCATTGACAGATTGAATATTGGAGAGGTTGCGAGGATAAGAGAGATCTTGAATAATATGAAATTTGTCCAAGTGCGGTTTTGGAACAAGGCCAAGAGGGGATGTATGAAATGGGCCGATTAAAAGCTCTAAGTCTGAAGGGGTGAAGCCAGCAGAGTATCTGCCAGCTGCCTGCTCGGAAAGAATGTACGCATTGATTACGGAGGGGTTGAGCAATGAAGAAGAATGATTTTCGAAAGGTATGAGATGAGGATGGTGGTTCAGAAACACCAACATTAAAACCATTATGTATGCCATCGACTATATGGTGCCAATCATTGAATATATTATATTTACGGAGAAGCTCCTCTACCCGCGCAGGGATAAGAGGAGTGACAACTATGCGGGGATCAACCGCGGGACTTGCAGTTCCCGGCTCCATGAGAGGAGTCTCTGCAGAGACTGCATGAGTGGGCGTCCTTGCATGCTGTACCAAAGGTACAGCTGGATGCACTGGCCCAGTTAAAGCAGAAGTGCTTGCCGTTGGGTGTAGTGAGGGCATGTTTGCTCCTGGCACCAGTGGCAAGAGGTGCAACAGGTTTTCCAGCGATGGTGGAATCGGCTGTGCAGTCTGTGGGCAAGTGACCAGATGCTCCGCAATGAAAACAATGATTCGAGACAAATGCTTGAGACTTCTTGCGAGGTGAAGTCGTAAAATCACTAGGGGCGGACCACTTGGTTGGAGAATTAAATTGCGGGGCGGACGAGACAGTACAGGTAATTTTATTGCTGGTGAGAGTAAGGGCTGCTATGTCTAAGCCCGCTAAGTTGTGATCATGGTTTGCGTGCGCTAACTCTCGCTGCTGCACGTCATAATGCATTGCTACTGGCCAGCCGTGTGTCTGCCCAATATTGAGAACGATGAGGTGGTGTGATACTAGGGCTGACTCTCTATCAGCACCCCAATAGTGCGAAGTCCTCTCCTCCACGGCTTTTGCCGCCGCGAACCAATCCACAGCGGAGATTGACAGTTCATTCGAATGGTCAAGGCCTTTGGCTGTGAGTCCTTCCAGGGTGAAAACAAAAGAAGAGTCTTCCCCATGGAGATAGGACTTGGATCGAGCAGCGTGCGTAATGGCCATATAAGGCACATATTGGTATAGTCTGAATGCCTCCTCAACCTTGGGAGGGATGGCTACAAGGTACGGTATGTCAGCAACGAGGAATGGATGGTAACAGCGAGGAGGAAAATGATGGTTAAAAATTTGGCACAACGGAGGCACCTGAATAACGATATGGTGCAGAGCGGTGTGAAGGCAAAATATGCCAGAGTGGAATCCCAGAGGGAGACGGAAATGAAGACGAAAGACGAGGTAATACGGTAATACACAAAACAAACAGTGGACTTACGCAGGCTCAATGTGCTGACTTTGTGCCCAGGATGGAGAGCAGGCAATGCCAGCTTCTTAGGCTCGTCCTTAGCAATGGCCAAGTTCGCATGAACATGGTCGATTGCAGCGGGGTCCGCAATTAGGGCTTGTTGGGGGGGGCCAGCTCTGGCCGGTATATGGTTGCCGTGAGCATCTCCCCATTCAAGTTCCGTAATTCTCGCTTTTAGGGCTGCAATCTCGTCTGCTGGGGCAACCACAGGTTGCCCCTGAACCTGAGGAGGGGGGTGCGCGACCTGCTGCTGCACAACCTGTTGCTGGTCCTGTTGTTGCGGAGCGGGATGCTGGGGGGTTTGCGAGGGCTGCTGTTGAGCTGGGACATGGGAGTTCCTTGTCCTACTCTGGGCAGATGATCTTGGTGCTGAAAGTCCACTCGAACTAGAGGATTGTGGTCCTGCAGCGGATGGGAGAGAAGATGAACCCGACCCAGATTGACTGGAACCCTGGGTGGCTGGTGGTGTAGGTGGTGCATTGGAAGAACCAGCCAGTTGGAGACCTAGGTGCTCATGCATGATTGGGAAATTAGAGTAGACTAGCAAAATACGAGGGGAACAATGAGTGAGGATGCGCGAGTTATGCTGAACTCGATGTCGATGAGGTTGAAAGGAACAAGCAAGGAAGAAAATTTCACATCTGCTCAGCTGGACGTGTGGTGCTGGGAAACTCCGGCAAGCTACGTTACCCGGCACCTGGAAATACCTTGTTTACTTCTTCCTTATAGCTCACTTTTTGACTTGGTCACTTTTTTATAGCTTTTCTGCTTATAATATGCTTGTTACTTAATTTCAAAGCATGAGCTTTTCATGTTCAAACAGATAGTGGGGAAAAGTGACAATCTGTAATGATACACATAAATAAGTGCAAAAAAGCTAAAAAAAAACTAAACTCATGATTTACTTATGCAAGAAGGTGGAAAACATGAACACCCATGTCGCCACATAATAGATGGTCATGCAGGTTCATGTGTTTCACCAGTTCATGTTTTCACTCTAGCACATGCAATTCCACACAGGATCCTTATGTATGTCATACATAGGTTATCTATCCCCAGCATAATACACATTGTTCTATTTGTTTTGTGAAAATTTTTTTGAGTGATTCTCATGCCAGAGTTCAGTTTATAGTGCTGGAGGCAAGTTTTACACATAGAATGCACACTCTAGCAGGCATATTGTTAGAAGCTAGACACGTGACACGCTCAGTAGTTGGAGACAACAACTAAATATTATTAATACCTAGATGCATGACACGCTAGTGAACATAGAGTAAGAGACGGTGAGATAATTAGAAACTAGGAAACATACCTCAGTAGTTGGAGACAACAACTGAGGTATGATACGACGAGACGATACATATTATATATGCGAGTGCACGTGAAAGTAGAATAAGGAAAGATGCTATGAGTGATGACGACAATGACAATGTAGAAAGCTGATTCCCACTGGGCTCAGCAGAAATTGTACTACCTAGACAACAATTATCTAGGTAGATCTTAGCACGACCTAGTCTGCTATACTTGCAGAGCAAGTGCATTCAATCCTATAGGGGTAGCTGTTTGGTATTAGTTTAGATAGTTAGTTATCAATAATAGGAAAATAATCTGAAGCTAAGAACTACTTGTCCGAAGGGAAACTGTTGGGTCCAAAAATATCAGAGTCGGGTCGGGTGTCGGACTATGCGTTGGACTGTCAGGAATGTGTCGGATGGTGAAGGAATGTGTTGGAAGTATGTCGGATTGTCAGTCAAATGAGTGTCAGATGTGTCAGAATGTTTTGGAGAAAAAGAGCAGATGGATATTTCACAATACAATGAAGTACTACTAATATCCAATGACTTCCATCCTGCTACTGAGTAGGGAAAGTAAGTAATGCAATAGGTAGGAAGTACTAGATATTAAATAGTGACTATGTAGAATTTCGGAGTGCATTAGGTGAAAACAGTAGTGCAAAATCAGGTCCGAATGTATGTAAAAGAGCATGTGTACTGCACCTTTTGTAGATAACATGTAATAACACTGTCTGTAATATTCAATAATGCGAAAACGAGTAAATATGCACCAGTGGGGATAGATACAACTGGACAGGACATAGGGAGGATGAGTCTGATGTGAAAATGTCGGGTCCGAAACTTTCGGGTCAGGATCGGAATGTCGGGGATGCATCGGATGAATACTTAGTTGATGTAAGTATCAAAAACACGGGTTTCAAGCCCAGCGCCGCAACTATTGTTACAACAAATTACAACACACCCCCATAACAATACATTGTTGTCTAACGAGAAACCGAGCGAGAGTCCTGTTTGATGATGAAGGAATAGCAGACGCGGCAAACACTTCGTGAAGATGTCGGCAACATTCTTATGAGTAGATAACCATGCAAGCTTGAAGGTTCCTCCTTTAATGTGTGCATGGATGAAGTGGTATCGAAGATCAATGTGTTCCATACGTGGTTGGCAGCCTCTTCAGATAAAGCTATGGCACTGGTGTTATTGGTGAATAGTTGAAGGGGAAGGGTGAGAGGGATCTTCAAGCATTCAAAGAACGACGTGAGCCATAGACCATCCTGGATGGCAGTGGTAAGAGCCATATACTTGGCTTTGGTAGAGGAGAGCACATGAGTGATTTGTTTCTTGGACGAGTGGGAGATCGGGCTGCCATTGAAGAACCACACATAGCCGGAGATGGAGATCCGGTCTTCAGGGCAACTGGCCCAATCCGAGTCACTGAAGCCATGCAGCTCTGGTGATGCAGCAGCACCCCCATAGTGCATGTGGAGACTGGTTGAACTGGCAAGAAAACGAAGGACGTGCTTAGCTGCTACATAGTGTCGTGGTTCTGGGGAGCAATTGTATTGAGCCAGCTTCATGACAGTGACGGCAATGTCGGGACGAGTGTACATGGCGAGGTAGAGCAATTCACTGACAATTTTTTGATATTCAGATGTGAGGTTATCGATGTGAGGATGTATGTCGGTGTCGCGTCCGAATGGGAAGTGGAGATCCATTGGAAGAGTGATGGAATTGCAACCGAGCATGTTATGTTCTTCGAGGAGGTACATGATGTAGTCCGTCTGGTGCATCCATAACTTACATGTAATCCTGTTTCGTTCAAACTGAATGCCTAGGTGCTTGGACACAGGACTGAGGTCTGTAATGCCAAATCGCTGAGCAATTTGGCCCTTGATCCAGACAAGGAACGGATGATCGCTGGCAGCAGCAAGTCCATTGTTAACATGCCATGCGATGATGCAGATGATTCTCTCCCCAGCTCCATTGACATGATCATACATGAAGACGGCATAGTCTGCCTCAATCCAAAGGAAGCCCAGGTGAGTGAGAACTTCGTGCAAGAGTTCATACCAATCATAGGCCGCCTGTTTCAGGCCATAGAGCGAGGACAAAAGATGACACACGAGAGTCCCTCCTTCGGGGGAGAAATGTTTGAACCCGGGTGGTTGACGCATATACATGTCCTCGGTCAATTTGCCCCACAGGAAAGCACATTTTGCATTGAAGGCGTCAAGTTCCCAGTTATTGCAGGCAGCCAGTGCAGAGATGATGTGAATGGAGGCTGCTTTTGCGACTGGTGCGAATGTCTTCCTGAAGTCAATCCCTGGTACCTGCGAAAAACCCTGTGCTACCAGTCTAGCTTTGAAGATTGATCCACCTTTCAGATCCTCACAAAACTCAAGCACCCATCAACAACCGATAGCTCTGCAGTCAGTAGGGAGAGGAACAAGTTCATACATGTTCATCTCCGACATCAAATTCATCTCTTGCTTCATCGCAGCAAGCCAAGAATCCCGATCCGAACAACACATGGCCTCGTCGTATGTGTTAGGAGGGACCTTCATGTTGTATCCAGCAGCTTGTGGATTGCGGCAAGTGTCGCTTCAGATAGAAATGCATGCCTGCTCAGCAACAATCAGATTGGCAATGACATGAGGAAAGCCTACTGTCTCATTGTCAGCATGAATAGTATTGTCGTCGACATTCTTGATGGTTGTGAGAGGATGAGTGGGTGCAGGAAGGAGGACAGGATGGGTGGCAATAGCAATGGGAGGAACTTAACTGGGGATGCTGTCTGCAGGAGGTACTCCCTGTATGCAAGCTTGTCATAAGTCGCATTGACGTTCAAGATGTGATGCATCAGAGGCAAGCTGTTCGCGGAAGAGACGGCCTCACTCTGGGAATTTGAGACCAGCCAGAACGATGGACTGGAGCAGACATTGGATTAGATATAGTGATAGGAGGGGCAACTACTGAATTGGATGGCGCAGGTGCAGAGGGAGGAGTGGCCATTTGATGTGGCATGACATCATCATCTTTGTCGTCACTATCAGTGACAGGGAAAGGACAATTCAAAAAGGACTCATTGAAAATAATGTCTCGTGAGTTGAAGAAGGCGCCAGAGACTGAGTCACAACAATGCCAGGCTTTAACACCTGGTGGATACCCCATAAACACTGCCTCACGTGAGCGTGGTCCCAACTTCTCCTGCAGTTCGGCGGGAATACGGACAAAGCATCTGGCGCTGAATACTCATAAGTGAGAGATGTTGGGTTTCATGCCATGCAGCATCTCATAGGGTGTCTTCCCTGGTAGAAGGGAACAGGACTCTGTGCAGTTAAACAGGTAAGCCGCACAAAGAGCCACTTCACCCCAGAGAGAACAAGGTAAATGGGCATGATCGAGCATGGCATACATCCTACCCTCAATAGTACGTATTACACGTTCTGTTTTGCCATTCTGCTGATGTGCATATGGTACTGACAGCTGTCATATAATACCCGTGGCCTCTAGCTCTGCCGTGAACGCAGCGTTCAAAAACTCACCCCCATTGTTGGACCTGAAGATCTTCATGCGCCGACCAGATTGGTTTTCCCAGCAAGCACAAACCAGATGCCACACATCAAGAGCCTGATCTTTAGTAGCCAGGAGTTGAAGATTGAGTATGTTTGTGTGGTCATCAAGGAAGATGACAAAATAGCGCTTATTGTGAGGCATGAGGACTGGAATGGGTCCGCAGAGATTGGAGTGAATGAGGTCAAGGAATTGAGCTGTACAAGGAGAGTCGGACAGAGGGTGACGATGATGAGGATGTTTGCCCATTATGCAGGATTCGCATTTAGATAAGACTGCACCTGGGGATACAGTCGCACCTGTGGCAAATAAAGGGAGGCGATGGACAGCCTCACCACCAATATGCCCAAGATGGGCATGCCATAGGTCAAGTGTAGGCATGATATGTGCGAAGGCTGAGAGGTCAGGTGGGGATGGCGGGATGTTGGGTGCTGCAACAGAGAGCTTGGCTGATGGAGCAGGGAGGAATTCAAGATTAACATAGCATAAATTATTTGCCATGGGTATTGCTCCTAATTCAGTACCTCTGTAGATGAGCTCACATCTCGGTGGAGATGAGCGAAAGACACAGTCCCATCCCTTACCAAGCATCCATCCCACAGACAACAGATTCAACATGGCAGAAGGCACATGTAGGCAGTTCAAGAGGCGAACACAATGCCTATTGCCGCCAATTGTCAATATGGTGACACAGTCACCACAACCAGAGGTACTCGTGTTGCCATGGTTTGCAGTGCGAACAGTAACTGCATCAGCTGTGGAGTAAGACCAGAAGTAGGAGCAGTCTTAAATAAGGGTGGTCGTGGTGCCCAAATCGAGGATGGTGTTGAAACCTGCAGCAATGATGCAGGAAAGAACTGCAGGGTCCATATGGGGAGGTGGGGATGTGTCGGGTGCCTCAATGATGGAAGCACAGGAGAGATCCGCGAGATAGAATTCAGCTACAGCTTTGGTGCATGCAAAAGCACCAATGATGGTAGAAGGAGGGAGAGTGGTTGGTGCTGGAGCAGGAGCAGGAGAGGTAATTGCAACAGCAGCCGATTCCTTCTCTTTTTCCTTCCTCTTACCCTTCATCCAGGGAGCTTGACCCTCCATGCTGCCACCCTTCACATGACAGTGCGCGTGGTCATGATCCCCCTTATTACAACCAACTGTGGTACAGAAGAGTCCATCAGGATTATGATGATGTTTGCGAAGACCAGTGATGGTGTTGACATTCCCAGTAGTCATAGTGGAGGAAGTCATAGCCACATTCGTGTATTCTGAACCAGGTGTGCCACCCACAAGAGCATGTTTGTCAATAATACGAGCCACTTCAGCAGAAATGCGGGCGACACAGGTATCAAATGTGGAGGCGGATGGGAGGGAGAATGAGGGGCCCACAGTGGTGGTAGCTCCGGCAGTAGCAGCTGTAGATGCAGAAGTGGTAGTGGCAGTCATAGTGGTGGTGACAACTGGAGTGTGCACGGGAAGAGTTAGAGTCAGGAGAGCCTTGAACTGGGGCCATGTCCCAGTCCAAGGTAGTCTGCGTAGAAGTTGAAACACTGCCTCAGCATCAGTGTAAACCACCCCCATGTGAAGCAAATGTTCGTGAAGTACAGTGTGCTGTCCCACATAGTTCGAGGCATCAGTGGCGTCTTTCATTTGTAGTGAGTATATGCTCTGTCGAACAACGTGTTGAGAGCCCATATCCACCCTTCCAAAGTGGTCTTCCAGAGTCTTCCAAGCATCTCGAGCAGTTACCTTGTGACTGGTTGAGATGATTTGGTGGACAGAGGTGGAGAGACAATGGGTGATGATGGATTTGGCCTTAAGATCGTTGATGAGCCATTCACGGATGCTCTTCACCTCATCAGCGGTAGGTAACAATAGATCAGCGGGTACTGGCTTAAATGAAGCGTTACCCAGGACGTCATCAGGGTCCACAGTGTCAGTTACATGACACCATTGGTCCTCAATACCAAGGGCATAGGTCACCTCACATTTCCATGTGAAATACATATCCAGACCTGTCAGTTCCAGGATATGGTTGAGCTTTCCCATGTCGAAGAAAGACGAAGATAATGTCTCGAATAAGAGAAGTTATAGCGAGTCGCTGAACTAAGTCTGTGTGTATCAGTATGTAGCTCTAGAAGATTTCATTCAGAAATTGCAGCTCATAACCTGTTAGAAGCTAGACGCGTGACACGCTCAGTAGTTGGAGACAACGACTAAATATTATTAATACCTAGACGCGTGACACGCTAGTGAACATAAAGTAAGAGACGGCAAAATAATTAAAAACTAAGAAACATACCTCAGTAGTTGGAGACAATGACTGAGGTATGATACAACAAGACAATATGTATTATATATGTGAGTGCACATGAAAGTAGAATAAGGAAAGATGCTATGAGTGATGACGACGATGACGAATTACAACACATATCACCACAGAAAATTCTGAAATGGTACATTGTGATCATACATGATTAGGCCATGTTAAAATAAATATCTCCTACTTTCTTAATAGAATGAGATGCAGTCTAAGAAACACAACCAGATGTGACAATCCACCCAAAGTGTGATGTATGAATTGTCAGAATTGATATCCCACTATGCTGAAATGTGGCACTAAACACATGTCAAATTTGGAGTTTGAGTCTATCACTGAAGACCTGCATGGTCAAGTACGGAATGTGAAATGGTTCAATGGCAATGTGTGACCTTGTGTGACATAGTGTGACAAAAATGCGAACCCTTGAGACAATCCACTCTGCTACATGGTAACTCTCTGCTGGACTCAACACTTCAATTCTCGAGACAGAAACTAGCAGGCATTGTATTTTAGACATATCCAATGGTGAAAGAACTTTCCATTTTGGCCCAGACGTTGAAGAGCTATTGTTGTTGCAAAGAAAACACAAACTCTGGTGACCGTATCTACTAAGTAGACCTAATTCTATTCTAAGTCTTCGTGCCTCATAAAAATAAAATATAAAACAGGACCTTATTGGGAAGGTCAGGTGATATAAACAGTTCCTGATTACGAAATTTATGACATTGTTTGGCTGGGACTTGGCACTCCTTGGACATCGCCTACAGACACGAATTTTTGGCATATTTGACTTCCAAAACATAGGCACAGATTTATAGCAGCAGAAGCTGTCATATCACGATTCACGACCAACCAGGCCGCCTTTGGCTTCCGTTCCTTGGCGTCGAGGTGATGCAAACTCAACTTCAGCCTAAGGTCCTAACCCCACTTCTCCCTCCTTTCTTCCACCCGTGTACCTCGCCTCAAATATATATGCGCCTGTTTGTTAGTGGTGTAAGTGCGTCTGATTTGTCCATCTCACACTTGGTTTGATTCTGGCGTGGGGACGACGTTGAATCGTTCTTGACATCATATGGTTGCTGTTCTGTCCAGTAGCAGCTGTGGGGAAGACCATGACACCCTCTGGGACGTGTATTAGGTGTATAGTAGTACCAGAACTCATACTCTGAACAGATGGGATTGTCGCGAGGATTCCGCGCACTGAATAGTACAGTTGACCGTGTGCGAAGGCCGAGTACATCGCAGGGTGAGTCCTTGCCAGCCATTGATGATCACATGCAGTCGGGATTAAACGAAGTGATGTGAGGGAGACAATGTACTTCGTCTGTCTGTGTTGACGTAGTGTCGGTGCAGAGCAGTGATGCACTAATATATTGCGTTGACCTTGACCTTGAGGTCTAGGTGATGTGGAGAGGAGTTTGTTCGCCGATACGTTGTGTGAAAGCACGACTATAATTACGCATAGGTGGAGGGCGCCTATAAGTCAAAGCGGAAGGAGCGCGTCAACGTTCTAGAGTAAAATCCGAAATCAAATCAGTAACGTATGAAATCTTTTGTACAACCCTAACATGGTTCTAGGGCCAACGTCTCCGCGGCCATCAATGATTCTGCATACAGTCCCTCGTCCAATATTCTCCGAATCTTCACGGTGTCCATCTCGATCGCTGCCTCCACGCATCATAGTACAATTAAGGCGATAATATAATTTGTAGCAGGTGATTCACCTGCCAGATTGATTATCCGTGCTCCGCGGCTAGTTACGGTACGTCGAGATCTGATGGATGTAAGTTGATCCGACCTTCGCGTTGTATCTGTTATTAAAGCCCAAATATTCCATTCGTTCATTCAAACTGATCCAACTTCCTCATGGGTACCGTGGATACTACGTGCGTATTCTTCATCTTCATATGCATCGCCCATTATAACTCGCACGCAGTTTTGGAGCGTTCTTGATCGGGGTTGTAGTCTCTGCCACGTGCGTGCTCTTTTTTGATTAACGATGAGCGTAAATTGGAACTTGGATATTACAGGCTCTACGGAGGTGTGTTTTCGTGCTTTTTTCATGTTAGCAGGAGCTCATAATCACACAAAGTTACTTGTATGCAGACATGGTACTACTTTAGCCGGTATGTCTCGGATCCTTGGTACAACAAATTTTGTGTACGTTCACAAAGGATCGCATGCATCATCATCTAACATCAAATAGGTCGGCGCTATATTTCTATCAGACTCGATCCATCAAGTTCTCATTACACACACGGGTTAGTACTTGATACAAGACGTCTTTTTCTGTGAACTAAATATTCCTTGGTAGTGTATACGTACCTTGTCGTTGACTTTGCCAACGCTACTGATCTCAAGAAACTTGTGTGGAGTCTAGCTGTGGGTTGCGTGTGATGAGTGCGCAATATCTATCCGAATTCTCATTTGCATCACAGGTTGAAGTCGTGTTCAATGGCTTCACGGCGTTGGTGGTTCAAAGGTTGGTGTGATAGCTTTTGAATAGAACAATTCTCATTGGTCGTCCTTCTAGCTTCCTCACCATACGTGTCTACCGACGTATGTGTGATCTCCCGCCAGTGGATGCTTACTTACTTTCAGCCAGTAAGCAACAAGAACATAATTGCAACCGCGTCAGTGCTGTCCCTCGTCATCACTGAATTTATCCTTGTTATCAGTTAGTATGCCTTTTTGCTTCACATAAATCTGTCTACTAATGAGACATCGAAAGTATATTTTTCAAAAGCGTGATTTGTATCGCAAATTGTCAAGTAGTAGTCCGGCTGATGCACCTCTCTTTAGTATCCACTTGACGACCCTCAGTCAAATTCCCCAGCTCAAGCCATGGTCAATGTCTACGAATGCCATAGCAGCTTCCGGAGATGTCCTTATCAGTGTCTTCCTCTGCACATTCCTCAAACGGTCTCGCACTGGTTTCCGTCAGTCCGATACCTTGATCAATAAGCTGATGCTATTCAGCGTCAGCACCGGTCTACTTACCAGTGTTTGCGCGGTCATGTCCCTCATTTCTGTATGTACAACATCACAAATGGCTCGTCATATCGTTCCTGACACAGTTGTGGCACAGATCACAGCGTGGCCTAATACCTTCATTTACGTCGCGTTCTATTTCTGCTTGGGTCGTCGTAAGTACACTATAGCCAAATCATGCTGTTCACGAGCTCAACGAGATCATTCTTAGTTTACTGTAATTCTCTACTGGCAACCCTCAACACACGCAAAGGTATGCGCCAAGATTCTTCTGAAGAGCACACGTCAGTCTCGCTACATGGAGTTCGAAGACCTATGAATAATCCCATCAGCTCATCGCGAATTGTGAGCTCTGCGAATTTGCACGATACATTTCTCATGTTCAAGCAGGGAATGCCGAACGACCTGTCAATTAAGATAGACACCACGCAAGAATACGTTGAAGACGAGGTCAGTTATGTTTTACCAGCGCTGTGATTCGATGCTGATTTGCATATATGCCAGTTTCTATCCACAAAGGATTTCAAAGGACCGAGTCAGTTTAACTGATATGCGGATGAAAATCACAAAATATACCTATCTCACTAGCTCTTTTTCTTAAAACGATAAGAAAGTTGTGCCTTTGACAGCGTGCAAATTTATTTGGTGGTATATTCTTCACATATATTTCGTTCCCATTCATTAAAGCAACTTTGCATACCCGACAGTCTTCACTTATCCTAGTCACATATAGCTACGAAAGTCACGCTTTACAGAATATATTTGATTCAGTACGAAGAATGAGAAATCATGTACTTGGACTCAATGCTACTATTGGCGCTTATGCAGGATTGATTTGGCACAACACGAGATGAGACGCGTTTCATTGGATCAAATTACCAAAAACGCGCTTGTCACATGCGTGACATGTCACGCATGCCACGGTGTTGCCGTTCTCAGATTACAGCAACAAACAGGGCCTAAGCCGGCATCAGCGTACACGCTCGTTGACTGCGCACACCAACATGTCCACCATGGATGTAGATCACATTTCTCCAACATCGTCTCCCGTCAATCCTATAAAACGCGCTCCAGTCACGTACGGAAGGCGTAGGGACCCCCAGCTTGCAATACGCGACTCTTCCGTAACACTCACCGACTACAACTCTCCTCGTGTAGAATCGGAGCCTTTGGGCGGTAAGGCAAGTGAATCCGCCCATGAATTGGCGCTCGATGCGTTGCAGGGTTCACAATCCTCTTCAACGACTTGTATAAATGATAATAACATGGACGATGCCAGTCCTAAACATCAGTTTGGCTGGAGAGCTCAATTGAAAGCGCTAGACGAAGCCTTCGATAATGACCAGGAGCCACTTGCACAGTCTCGGGTTGCTGAGCGGTTGTCTTCGTCGTCACCCGTTCATCCTCAACCCTTTGTGGAGAATCAAATCATTCACGTAGATGCCACGCCTCTTTCTCCAGTACCACAAAATTCCGACGGACTTTCTGATGGCACACTGTTACCCCCTACGAGCGACCCATCCGCCTCCCCAATTGATGAGTCTCTTGAAGATTCACCGATTATTTCTCGCAAGGTCAGACGCTCGAAGAATTGTGTCGACTCTGATTCTGAGCGTGAAGAGTCCAAAAATTCCTCATCGGTATCGCCTGTTCACCATCCAATTAACACTCCTCAGCTGCGATCTCCTCCCACACCTTTGACATCAGAGTTGGAAATGCCTTTAACGAGGCCCAAGGCCAACAAAGGCAAGGGGAAGGCACCTGCTCGGGATGTCCCTCCGCTTCGTTTTGAGAGTGAATCAGTTTCGACGAGTCCCACGTCAAAGAGGGGTAGCAAATCTAGGCGGAAGGATGAATCGGCACGCCTCAAAATCAAGGTAGTTTGAATTTTGTCGCATCTATTCCATCTCTCACTCATATGACGCGTAGGCTCCGACTAAAAAGGACCTGCGTGAAACTGTTCTGGAGAGTTCGCGTATTACTGCGAGCAAGAATATCCAAGTGGCGCGTACTGAGCAAACAAAGTACACCAAGCATCGGCTTTTTGAGCTGGTCAAGTGGGTGATGTCAGGTTTTTATCCAAGAGAATGCTGCTGACTCTGATCAAGGGATGAAGCCTTGCGTAAGGAGAAACAGGAGCCTGAGCTTCCCTCAGATCCAATATCTATTTTTTCCTCGCCTTCCGTGCTACCCGCTGCTGAAGCACGGAAAAAATTTACACAAGGCGCATCTTCATTCGGCGCACCTTCACATTTGCTTGGATCTTCTACTATTGTGCGTCCTTGCGTACAAACTCCTCCCAGAAATCCTCCGCGGCGTGCGACTTCCCAGCCGCGGTCAGTGGCATCCGATAGCTCTGACGAACAGATGCCGAATCTTACCAACATGTTGAGGCAAGAGCATGCCAAACGAAAGGAAGTTGATGACAAACGTGCTCTCGCAGAGTTAAAGCAGCGAGCCATTCAAGACGCAGCTAGGCGGTTATCTAGGGCCGAAGATAGCGACGATGATCTGGAGATTGTTGATAACAACATGCATGTAACAGCCCAAGAAGAGGCAGCGAAACGCAAAACTGACAAGCTGCAACATATTACTCCTTCGAAGGGGAAGGCGAGACAACTTGCGTTGAGCCGGAAATCTATACCAGGACCGTCCGGCTCCCGTGCGAAGCCTTTTGCACAAGCCAACATGTCCGAGTACCTCAGACAATCCGCGATGTCGTCATTCGATCAGAAGGGAAGGGGAAAGGGCGCTAAGGTCCCACTCACCGCACAGCAATTAAACAAAGCGCTCATACAAAAAGCTGAGGCTAGCAAGCTTGCGACAATTCAGCAGCGAGAAGAGGACTGGAAACAAAGAGGAGGCAGGGTATTAGAAGAGCCTGCAGAAGCTGCGGGGAACACGTCATTCAGAGACAGGCTTGATGTATATGTGCAGAAGGGGCTTCAAGTAGCAGAGCGCGACGACTTTACTGTTGGCGACATGGAAGTAGACGACACGGACGAGGACGACACAGATTATGCTCCAGAGCAAGCGAGGTTCTGCCAGTCCAGAGCCCATGGATACTGATGGCGGCAGTGATCGGGAAAACCAACCAGGTCTCGATGTCGATGATGTTGCAAGCCAACAGACGGACGTTGAAGATGAGGAGCACCAAGTGCATAGGCGCGGTATTCGTCGCCCTCTAATAGTGGCTTCCGACGATGAGGATGATGCTCCTAGAATTCTTGTGCCCAATTCCTCCATCCAAGACTTGGCCTCCGACGCCATAGTGACACGTCATTCGGAATCGGACCAAACGGAGGACGAGAATGACAAGGAGAACAGTCAAACGTTGATGTACGACAAAAGCGAGGATAAGGAAAACAAGGCTGTTGTTCGACACTCGCATTCATTGGCGAGACCTCCCTTATGTAGTAGACCAGGGTCGCTTCTTGACGTCGAAGATGTTGTTCACATGATATCATCGCCCTCAACATCGTTGGGAGGTATCGGCGGCCCCTCTGGTTCTCCCGAACAAAATTTGCCGCGTTCGCCATTGAGGGAGATTGCTCAAGATGACTCGGGTTCCCCAAGCTCAAAGTCCCCGTTTACCACCAGACTCCGCCAATCTACGTCAAAGTATACGACATCCCTACCAGGAGAATCGTTTTCCGACATTGAGGACGAGGAGAACATGGTTAAGGATTTCGAACCCCGCACACTACTACCTTCCTTTTCTGAAACTTTCAGCAAGAGCAATCCTGCGTCCTTTGTACCTCGGGATCCTCTTGTAAATGGAGGAGGTTTTTCGCAATTTTTCTCAGATGAAAAGGTTTGCAATCTTCTTTGTTATAATTCAGTTCAAAGAGTGATGTGTGGTGGTTATTTTAGGATGAAGAGCCCAGCTTCAAGAACGGGAACTGCAATGAGCTCGCTTTGTCGCTTGATATTGGACTGGAGCCCGCACTAGAAGTCAGCAGTACTCTGCGCAGGAGGGCTGACAATATTTTTGAAAAAGAACAGGAGTATGTTATAGAGATCGCAAATGACGATCAGAATCAGGAAAATAATGACCCTGAATGGTACATCCGAGAGAACGGGTGAGTCCATCAAAGTGGCATCTGATTCATTGCTGGAAATCTTGTTTTCCCTCTCAGGTTCTTGACGCAGACATCGGAACCTAATGCTGAACAATATCGCGTCAAGTCTTTGCGGAGGTCGCCGCTTCTGGCATCTCAAACATTGTTGGGTGATTTAATTCCGTCGTCGTGTGAGCGTGCTCCACTCCAAACGTTGTCCTTCGAGGCAAGGCAAGAATCACCAGATGTACAACCTCTTCTTTACCGATTAAGGCGGCGCAGTAGCTCGCCATTGGAGAGGAAATCCGCCATACAAGATGACGGCTCTCTTCTACCCCCTCTACTTATTTCTCAGCTGCCCAAGAGAAATGCATTTGATGTCTTGGGAGGGCATCCGACATCCAATGCGCTCAAACCAAAGCTGGACAAGTCTGAATTCATTGCTGCGGAGGCTGAGGAATCAGATGAGGACGAATTAATTGGCTTTGGACCTATCCATAAAGACGACGACGAAGAGGCAGAGGATGATGATGATGAGAAAATTTTGGAGGGTCTTGTCGATGATGCAGCCATGGACATCGAGACAGAAAGGGTCGATTTGGTCCAGGAGAAGTTCAGGTGCGCATTCAAGGCAGATTAATGAGGCAGCCAGCTGAACTATGCTTAGAGAGCACGAGGAGGAAGATGACAAGAAGTTGGAGAAGCTTCACCAGGATGCCATCGATGGCAAATTTAGAATGAAGCGTCGCGACCGTGGGATCGGTTTCGAAGAGGATAGCGACGAGGAGGAGGACGAGAATAACAGGCGAATACGACGGAGTATGAACAAGAAACGCAAGATTGATGGTGATACTCTCGAAGACCTAGGTAAGTGGTGTAATCGTCACAACTCCATTTTGAAGCCGACGTCTCTCTCCATAGGTCGAAACCAAGAAACAAAAGCATTCTACGACGCATATCAGCATGAGTTGATTGATGACGACTCTGAGTTTGCCCATTTGCAGACAGATACACAAATGGTTAGCGAAGATGAAGATGAAGATGAGGAGACGAGGAATGTGGTGCTGACTGAAGATCTGAATGCCGAGCTCAGGGAAGCGGCCAGGAATAGAGAAGAAGTGAGTCGCACAACGCTTTTTCTACCTTTGATATCGCTGATCTTGGGTAGACTTCTGAAACTCTAGATCTGGAGGACACATCATGGATCGACAGGGCGGACGAGGATAACGATAGCCATGTTCCTGTCAAAGTAATGGCAGAGCACTACAACAATGGACCTGCAAAACGACCCGCACTGTCCCACGTAGACTTTGGTCCGGAGGTCTGTTCTGCGCTCGATGAATTTTATTGTAATCTGATAGCTAATTTCCTTTCATAGCGCCCGAATCGGATATTGGAGAATGACCAAGAGAAAACAAAACTGCGTTCATGGGCAAGAGGTCAAGGCTGCGGAAAGCAGGGGACTGGTCGGTCTGTTGTTGGTGCAGCCATTACAGGACACGCCAAGACCAACGTCAAGACAGGCGGCGGTTCCTTGAGAACAAGTCAGTCGGCCACTGGAAGCAGTTCTGTCTCAAACGCACCTGCTCCTCGTAAACTGGAGAAGGGGCGAAGTATACTCTCCAGTGTGTCCGATAGGAGTAGTCGATTTGCATAGTATCTGCGTAGTATCTATTAGCATCTTGATTCACGTTCGATCTTACGCGTCGTTCCGCAAAAGGTCTATTCTGTACATTTATTTTCCACCTGTAATAACCTGCGACATCACTGCAATGTAAAGATGTAAAGATGCAAACAAGGAACATGTATGTTCACAAAGCAAAAGTCTTGATGAAACTGCGAAGAGAGGCATGTACACCCAGAAAAAGATAAACAAGGTAGATATCTATAAGGGATTAGGTATCACGGAGATATAAATACCGGTTGACAAGGCTCTACAGGACAGCCCAAAATAAGTGTCAAATGATTGAAGATGCTTGTAATTTAGTGGTATTGGTTTCCAAAGTTCCTTCCAACACGAACCCAGGACGCGCGCGGGCGAGTGGGTTGGATAAGTGCAATATTTCGTGATTGGCGTGAGAGCGCCGGGGATCTACGTTTGCGTGTACTCGTCTGAATCTTTTTTTATTAGAAAAAAAATAAGTTGACGGAAAGCAAAAGCAAACTAGATATAATCACTTTATGCCTCAACATGATAAGTTTGGCCATGCACGCTGGAGGGCCTGATTCCCTGAATGGATTACCTGGAAACAAACTGTCAAAAGGTAACCGACACAGCTCATGAACAGAACTTACGGGATGCGACGAGAGCTAAACCTGACTCGTGAGCATCAAGGAGGTCATCACCAGCCATGATAGACCTTCTGACTACAGGTGAAAATAGACATAACAGGATGATAGCGGAGAGAAAGGTGACGAGAAACATGGAAGACATAGCGCCGATATTTAATGGAAGGCGGGACAGCGGCGCTGAGCACCAGCAGGGGCTGCGCGAACGTCGCACGTCGTGAAAGAGAGCGGGAGGGAAATAATAGAAGGTGGGTGGGGGGGATAGCAACCAAAAAGTTTCAAAGGCTTTGATTAACTAAAGTTGCTCGAGAACATAATGCTTAGTCAGCGGAGGTGCCGGCATCATGATCAATTTGATAGGCTGATGTTTCTTGTTTAGCTGTTCTCACTAGTGTCCGGCATGGCCGAGCTGTTGTCAACGGCCACGATCACAGCAACGGGCCTTCTTTGCAAGGCATTTCTCAACTCAGGACTTTGTTCCATCACCGTCAGCAACCTACATATACTTTTGGATGCTCTACGGAACGATGAGAGGCGGCGACATGGACAGGGCGTAGTAACAGGTGTGCCTTGTAATTTGTCGTGGTTAACGTCGACTTATGCACGCTTAGTTGCAAACCATATTTCCACGTCTGTCCTTTGAGCTTCTCACGCGAACATTCATCCTGAGGCTTGAGCCTGGCTAACAGACTAGATGATCCACTCGTATGGGGAACACTCCCAATGGAACTCTACTTGAACTCCAACACAACACGGTGGTCGCTTGGTGCGTCCGATATAATGTTCACTAACCCGTATGTTGCACGGAGATATTCGGAATGTGAACGACTGAATGTAAGCTTCGGCTAGGAAGTCTGTTCTCCGCTTTCTTTCGTAAGGGTCAGGTACTAGAGACGTTTCGCGGAAAAGGAATCTTCCAACCTTCCTTGGATATTGCCATTAAACAACTTAATGAAGGGCATTGGGTGGGTGCCAGGCAACCAGACTTCTGTGCCCGTCTTAACAGATATCAGGTACATCTTTTCGGAGAAGGCAAGATCAATCAACCCCCCGACTATCCGCGGATAAATGGAGTCGCTCGCTTGCCGCGATTCAAATGGGGAGTGTAAGTCACTCTTCACCATTTTAACATCCAATCATTACACCTGTTGAAATGCTAAGTGGAAGAATCCTGATGGAAACTGCAGTTTCCCCTATCATCATACCGATGTGGCTCACTGGTATGACATCTGAAACCACCAGTGCTTCATCTTCTCTGATGTGACGTTAGGTTTCGACAAATTGATGCCCGAACACCGCTCCTCTCCTTACAAGTACTTCCCAAGATTAGGTGTCAGACTTGGTGTGGCGTTTGGCGATCCAATACCGGCTGATAAAATAACGGCTGCATTGAGTGCGTACTCGTATGTGCCACTTGTTACGGAAAATGGTGTAGAGTCGAAGCTTAGCGATGAACTTCATCCGGGTGGCCGTGTTGGTTGCACAGCTATGGAGGCTGAAAAGCGGTTCGCGCTATGTGAACGCAAACGACAGATGGACGTGGCGCGGAGCGATGTAACTGCGATCATTCAGCGAGCGGTGGAAGCTTTGGGTAGACAAGTCTCTGGCGACCTTCTCAACGACTCTCGTTCATAGCGGCAATTACGAGCTCATAAACAATTGCATACAGATTACCTAAACACACATCAGGTTTGAGTCGAGATAAAGACTTGCAACACCCAGGCCGTCTAGAGACGCTCTAAATTGGGCGTGGTGAGGTCAGTACTCTGAGTCTTGCGCTGCCGAGACTAGAGACGTTTGCACTTGTTACTATACTTAGACTTTACTAGAATCATATGGTACGTACGTGTTCTCAGTGCGTACTCTCTGCCTTGGGACTAGCATAGGAATGTCAGCTCGCCTGTGACTCAGATCAAATTGGAAACAGTATGTATGTGGCTTTGTATTAGACTCGTAACCATTCTGCCTACGTGCGTTTTTTGAGATGCTGGGAATTTTGCCGCAGACTGGTCGATCTGGGAAAGATTTGGCAGGGTTCATTGTTACTGATCGTAACAGAGAGCGTACGAAGGGTCGAAGGAGGACTGAGTGTGTGCATGGTATGATAGCGTGATGAGGCCGCATCCGAGACAAAGAGCTGTTTCAGAAACTGCAACATGGAACATCCACCACATAAAGTACTGGCAAGTCCAACCCGACTCTGCTTGCAATATTTCATGATATGGAACGGAAGCAAGTAGCTATCTAAGGTGTGTCCCTAAAGCCCATCAGATACTGCATAATCTGGAAGGCCGCCTGAAACAATCGGTTCCTGCGTTAGGGCACGCTTGCACGTCAGCATCATCGACTTACCACTGGCGCAAACTGCGGAATCCTACAGACGACATTAATCACCAGACCCTGCGTATTGTATTGAACTCACATGTGTCCACTCAAGGCTACTTCGTAATAAGTGAGTCCCCGCTCCGAATGCATGGTGCCATAGGCACCCACACCATCGACGATGAAGCTGTCGTTAGCAATAGGTGTCTGGAATCCTTGCAAACCACTCCCTTTGAATACAATGAATGATTAGTAGGGTGCAGTAAAATTACTAGTCACGCACAGGTCATGCTACATATGAATTCTATCAATGACAGTGATACAGTCGCAGTTAAGGAAGCACTTACTTTTGAATGGCAATTCTGGTTCTAAATCATCGAACCATGCGTCAGAATATACGAAGATCGAGGGTCAAAAGCGAAGCCATACCCGTCAGCAATGAGTATGAAGTCGGCAAGACCGTGCACGATGACTGTCCGCTGGTTCTTCTCAATGACATTAGGTAATACAGTGAAGGCAGGAGGTAAGCTGCTGTCTTCGTTTGGGAAGACATTGATATCGGTGCATTCCGACCATTGGGTGTCAATGGGCGCGTGGATGGCTTCCTTGACATCCATTCTATTAAAGTAGATCGGAGACTGCGTCTGTGGGAATGACCCTCTAGGTCTCCGTCAGCCGAGTTGCATTGAGTCAAGAATCGAATGGCCTACGGAAAACCTAAGACATCCCATAAAATTGGATACTTGCGTAGAGAAGAAGTTAACATAGTACTCATTAAATACTCTTTGACTCACAGTGTCCCAGATGCGATAGACGTCGAAAGCGGGGTTGATAATCAATGAATTATTAAAAATGTCATCCCAGACGTCGCAGCCTTGTGCGAACTCGGTAGAGTCTCCTGGAAGGGGAAGAAGACCTGTTGGAGGGTATGTGACGTACTTATCCATGTAGCCAGTGTAATTGCACATCGCAGCCTTCTCGTTGAGGTAGTCCATGTATGTTTGACTAAACATCAATCAGTGAGCAACCTACAAACTAGATCCCAGTGAAATGAACAGACTTAAAAGAGAAGAGACCAGCGTATTTGTTCACAAAGTCCACTGCAGGAATCTCCTCTTGCACCACGTCCCACGAGATTGAAGCTGAGCTTCATGTATAAACACTTGTGAAGAGACAAAGCAAGTCAGAATGTTACTTACGGTCACTGATCCATATTCCCTGCAGCGAGAGGTCCAATTGAGTGGGATTCTCGTAGATATAATTTGCGATATCTTCATTGGTCTTTAAGTCACGTTCAGAGGAAATGACTTCTGACTCACAAGGTACATATGTTCCAGCGTACTGAATACGGTCAAAACGATGTTTTACCAGATACTCTGAGAACTTACACTTTCGCCCGTTAAATACAGCTTTTTGCCTTTGAGTTCCGAAAAGACCTCAAGGAACTGCTGCATGAAGCCGACGAGTTGAGTAGCAACATCCTCTTCGTTCTGTGCGTCTGGGATGCCTTGGGAAAATCCCGTTCCGACAGGTTGCTCCACCCAAAGGACGGAGGAGAGGTTGGTCCAGCTCTGTTGATTCACCGTCGGTTTTGCCTGACCCCAGGACCAACTGAAAGGCTTCAAATAGTTCAGTTATAAACGAGTCTTACCGTCAACAAGGAGGCTTACTCCATTCTCTTGCAGCAAACCTTCAAGGGAGGAGCAACCAGGGCCACCGTTCGTCCTTCAGGAATAAAATGTCTTGTCAGCAACGAACGTTGCATCACTTCTGATGACGCACCAAAAGATTAAATCATCAAGACTCCCTTCGGGGCCAGGAGGGAAAAACCAGAAATAAAGCTGATGTCCTTGACGTAAGAAAAGGACCTGTATAGACTACTGCATGTATGTACACACCTGACGAGTCTCGTTAGGGCTATTGCTGATGGGTAGAAGACCTGCCCAGCTAGGACCAACGTCGAAGTCAACAAGAGGAAGGGATGTGCCATCGACGTAAAATTCTGGATGAAGATAGATCAGACGTACTAATAATAGATGTCTACTGATAGTATTTGATTTACCTGAGGCCTTTGGATTCGTGAACGTGATATTCTGAACACCACTGTGCATTACGCCCCGACTTTGAGGACCGCTGGTCTGCCAACGCTTTGCTGCCTCGAGTTGACGTTCACCAATTTCGTGCTTAATCATTCTGCGAGCGTTAGCGACGCCCACCGCGAGAAAAGTTGCGAATGCAGCGAGAAGACGCATCACTGTCGAGCAAGTCCGAGTCACCTTGAGGGGAAATGGGGAGTCACATCTGGTATAGTAGATCAGGGCTTTTATTTAGAATATGAGTATTTCTGTACTGATAGAAGTAAACGATTTGATAATTGAGTGCACATGCATACCAATTGTGACGATCATGGTTGCAGTACTGCACCATGTGCTGATTGTGTTCTTCGGTCGCGCAACTGCGACCCTGGCGGCCAAGCAACTTGCCTGATTAGCAATCTTGATCACTGGTACACGCATTTGCTCACGGTATTCAAGTTGGTTGTTCAAGTTGTGTTCAACTTGAGAGTGCTCACTGCTCACAGCTCTGCTCGTTCAAGTTGTTCGTTTCTCAACATTACAGATACAGTGTGAATATATCTGTTGGTTTTTCCACATCGCTCGGTGGCAGATCGATCTGTCAATTAGGTGAACTTGTGAAGACGCATGGACAGCTTCGATTTATACCTCCTGACCTGTATGCCTCATGACTGCCAGTATCGCCAGCGCAAGATCCGTGAGTATCAATAGCCCTCAGAATCGGAGGTGGGAAACAATAATACCCACCACCACTGACCAGCAGGTTATTCAGGCTCGCTCCCATTAACAGCTTCTCCATCAATCACTATCGCACGTTATTGCATCTTGTCGGGACATTGAAGGATGGTCCATCGTGTCGAAGCTTCGTGAATTCTTTGCTTTGAGGAAGGCGTCCTCTTCTGGCGGCAACATGCAGAATTTGGGCCTTGTGATATCTTTCATCTCACGATGTCTCGCGGGAAAGTTGCTGGAGTCTGGAGATTGTGGGCGAAACTGGTGAGTTCCAATATGTATATACCATGCTGGATCATCGTGATAAGGTTTGCCAGCACTGCCCCTTCAAGGTTTCCTTATGCCTTCGGCAATGGGCATAGGGCACATGGCCAGTTAGCTGAAGAACTTAGTCAACGTGTTGGCCATGCTTCGGTCAACAGTACTCATATTAAAGGACCTCTCCATTCTCCCCAAATTCTCCCACCTACTTCTTGTACCCCCACTTCGCTCGCAGTAATCGTCTGCTGTCATGACCGACAATAGACCAAATCCTCCTCCACAAACCAGTGAAATAACTGTTCCTGAAAGCTCGGTATGTAGTCTCCAAGGCTTACTTGCCGTGGATCAGCGCTCATAAAATTCATCATTGCTCCCGACGCTTTATTCGTCCAGAACCAGCTCAGTAGTCGAGTCAAACTGGGTTGGAAATTTGTGAAAAATATCATCAAGAAACTTTCAGTAAGTAGACTGCTATGTTTCCTGATTCTGGCTGACATCATGCAGAAACGCTTCAAGCGTTCCCGCAACCGCATTCCTGCGATCCAGAATGTCGAACTTCAAGGCGCTTCATCGAGCGAGAATATCCAGGTAGGTGCTTGAAATCGTAATCCCAATTCGGTTGTTTTATCAGAAACGCCCAGGACACGTTACATCCGCATCTGTTCACCGACAACACGCATCTCACCCCAGCTGAAAATCTCAGTGAATGCGTCAACCAAGGGACATCCGGAGAACCTGCTTCGAAGGTACTTGTATTCAAATCTATGGTTTTTATGTCTAAATTTTGTTGGTCGCGCAGGTTCTCGACGTCCCCTGTGGCTCAGAGGAAACCCCTGGTTCTAAACCGGTTAGTGCCGAACTTCAGGTTGCCCACGAGGCTTTAGAACACATGAAAACACCCTTGAGACCTGCGCAGCATGCGATATCCGCTGTCAGCAATGCCCCAGCAGGTCTTACTGCCGTAGATAATCTCCAGACCGATTACCTCCAACCCCTTAAAATTTTCAACACCGCCATTGACAAGATCGCAAACGTATGGGCCGCTCTTCTTTCTTGGTAGCGAACTAATCAAATCATAGGTGCATCCATACGCAAAGATGGCGTTGGGCGTACTTTCTGCTGCAGCCAACGTACGTTCTATCTTTCTCGGAAATCTGTCCTCCGCTCAGAAGTCATGGTTCCATATAGATCATCCTTACTCAAGCGGAGCGCGACAAATCAATAAATGACCTTCTCAAGAAATTAGATGAAGTTTATGGTTTCATCACCCAAGACGATAATCTTTCCAAGGTTGAATCGATGCGTGATGTCATCGGAAAGATCGCTCAGCAGACTCTCGAGTGTGCCCGTTTCATCAGGGAATACTCGGAGACGAAGAGCTTCTGTGAGTCCTCGAATTATTGCATTCGCAAACCGGTCTTATACTCACTATGATAATAGGGAAGAGAGTCGGTAAAAACTTCGTCGCGGAAACAGACGACATCATCACACGGTACAACAAAGCCTTGGATGGACTTATGCAGCAATTTCGCGATCAATCTCATCGGGACGTAGCTATCTTCGTCCAGTTTGCGGGTGAAGATTCCTGCATGTCTCTGATTTTAGATCTACTCATACCCTTAAAGGTGAAACACTCAATCTCAGCGGCATGACTTATGCGGCGGGCGCAGGACTGAATACTGCGAAGCAATGTTTGTCAGGCACTCGCACAGGCATTCTCTCAGAAATTACCGAGTGGATCAACAGCAGCGGCGATTCTGTTCCCCGTGTAATGTGGCTATCCGGCCCTGCAGGCAAGGGCAAATCAGCCATCGCCCACACTATCGCCAACTGGTTTGAAGAGACCGGAGGCCTTGGTTCGTGTTTTTGTTTCGATCGGCATAGAGAAGCAGATCGTCGCCATGAGAAGATTTTCTCCACCATCGCGCGCGATCTTGCCGATCGCGATCCGGGGATGAAACGAGCGCTAGCGGATGCAGTCAAGAATGCAAACTCTCTCAAAAATACGACGGACATCATCCAGCAGTGGCGGAAGCTCCTGATGGAACCGCTGAGGAACTTCTCTGGGTCAAGCGTAGGGCCTGTCTTGATCGTGATCGACGCACTTGATGAGAGCGGCGGAGTAGAGACGCGTCGGGACCTTCTCCGCATACTTTCCGGTAAACTTCAGAACAAGGGTCTTCCCCAAATCACCGAACTCCCTGCCAACTTTCGGATTCTCGTCACCTTCCGCCCGCTGCCCGATATTGAAAAGGGATTGGAAGGTGCTGAACACATTCGACGACTGTCCATGGACAGTATTCCACCAGAGGTCGCGGAGCGTGACATTCGCGCGTTCGTATCTGAGGAGCTGATAGAGCTCTCAGAATTTCAGGACATGCATCTCGCAACGCTCGCTGCAACAGCCGATGGACTCTTCGAGTGGGCACGTCTTGCGTGCGGATATATCAAGGAATCCTGCACCGGCTTATCCCCAATGGACTGCTTCGATGCTGTCGTGAACCGCAATGCTGGGGAGCGGAAAAACTTGCTGTATGATATGTATCGGCTCATCTTAACAGAGATCATACCAAAGGATAAGTACACACCGGCCCATTACGAACAAGCAGTAGCGAAGTTTCGCTCCGTGATGGGTCAAATATTTGCCACAGCCGAACCCCTCCCTCTAGCTTCACTGAATGCTATGCGGCAGCATTTCACGGAGGACCATGACCGTTACGAAGTGGATGTAGTTATAAAACGCATGGGATCCCTCCTCAGCGGTACCATCGCCTCACATACCCCCATTCGACCCCTTCATGCGACTTTTCAAGAATTCCTGACAGACAAATCATCCAGCGGAGACTTCTTCGTCGAGAGAACGAAGGCGCAACAACGCGACCTTGCATTTGCGTCACTGCGAGTGATGGAAAATGGCCTTCGCTTCAACATCTGTGGTTTGAAGTCGTCCTACCTCCCTAATTCCCATGACACGGAGCTGCCTCAACGAGTCAAAACATCCATTTCCTCACATCTCTCCTATTCCTGCCGATATTGGGCCACGCATGTCCAGATAACAGACTTTGACGATAAGCTCGCAAATGAAATAAAATCACTCTTCGACGACGAGAGACTGATGTTCTGGATTGAAGCACTCGGACTTCTCCATGCAATCAGCGGTGCGGTTACTGTGCTTGCACTCGTTGCCAATTGGCTGAAGGTAAGCACATGCCTACGAAGCAGTGTCGGACGAACAGCTCATACATATGCAGGACCATTCTGGATACGAAGATTTGCGGTCCACCACGATGGATGTACAAAGATTCATCCAAGTGTTCGGGGCCATGATTTTGCACAGCACACCACATCTGTATGTATCAGCGCTCCCATTCTCGCCCGCCAACTCCACCATGGCTAGCAAATTCACGGCAAGGTTTCCGAATACCATCCGTCTAGCATCTGGCCGTGATTTGAACTGGACGGTTGTTCAGGCCATAATCAATGGGCACACTAGAACGGTTCGGTCAGTCTCGTTCTCACCGGATGGTACTCGCATCGCGTCTGCTTCGGACGATAAGACTGTGCGGATGTGGGATGCAGCGACGGGACAGCCATTGGGTGAGCCCTTGAAGGGGCACACTGGAGAGGTTCGGTCAGTCTCGTTCTCACCGGATGGTACTCGCATCGCGTCTGGTTCATCGGATAACACTGTGCGGATGTGGGATACAGCGACGGGACAGCCATTGGGTGGGCCCTTGAAGGGGCACATTGGAGGGGTTTCATCAGTCTCGTTCTCACCGGATGGTACTCGCATCGCGTCTGGTTCATCGGATAACACTGTGTGGATGTGGGATGCAGCGACGGGACAGCCATTGAGGAAGCCCTTGAAGGGGCACACTGGATACGTTAACTCAGTCTCGTTCTCACCGGATGGTACTCGCATCGCGTCTGGTTCGAAGGATAAGACTGTGCGGATGTGGGATGCAGCGACGGGACAGCCGTTGGGTGAGCCCTTGAAGGGCCACACTGGAGAGGTTCGGTCAGTCTCGTTCTCACCGGATGGTACTCGCATCGCGTCTGGTTCAATGGATAACACCATGCGGATGTGGGATGTAGCGACGGGACAACCATTGGGTGAGCCCTTGAAGGGGCACACTGGAGATGTTTACTCAGTCTCGTTCTCACCGGATGGTACTCGCATCGCGTCTGGTTCATCGGATAACACTGTGCGGATGTGGGATGCAGCGACGGGACAGTCATTGGGTGAACCCTTGAAGGGGCACACTGGATTCGTTTACTCAGTCTCGTTCTCACCGGATGGTACTCGCATCGCGTCTGGTTCATCGGATAACACTGTGCGGATGTGGGATGCAGCGACGGGACAGCCATTGAGGAAGCCCTTGAAGGGGCACACTGGATACGTTAACTCAGTCTCGTTCTCACTGGATGGTACTCGCATCGCGTCTGGTTCGGACGATAAGACTGTGTGGATGTGGGATACAGCGACGGGACAGCCATTGGGTGAGCCCTTGAAGGGGCACACTGGAGAGGTTCGGTCAGTCTCGTTCTCACCGGATGGTACTCGCATCGCGTCTGGTTCATCGGATAAGACTGTGCGGATGTGGGATGCAGCGACGGGACAGCCATTGGGCGAGCCCTTGAAGGGGCACACTGAATGGGTTTTTTCAGTTTCGTTCTCACCGGATGGTACTCGCCTCGCGTCTGCGGACGACAAGACTGTGCGGATGTGGGATGCAGCGACAGGACAGCCATTGGGTGAGCCCTTGAATGGGCACACTGGAGGAGTTTCGTCAATCTCGTTCTCACCGGATGGTACTCGCATCGCGTCTGGTTCGGACCACAACACTGTGCGGATGTGGGATGCAGCGACAGGACAGCCATTGGGTGAGCCCTTGAAGGGGCACACTGGAGATGTTTTATCAGTCTTGTTCTCGCCGGATGGTACTCGCATCGCATCTGGTTCATTGGATGGCACTGTGCGGATGTGGGATGCAGCGACGGGACAGCTATTGGGTGAGCCCTTGATGGTGCACACTGGATACGTTAACTCAGTCTCGTTCTCACCGGATGGTACTCGCATCGCGTCTGGTTCATCGGATAACACTGTGCGGATGTGGGATACAGCGACGGGACAGCCATTGGGTGAGCCCTTGAAGGGGCACACTGGAAAGGTTTACTCAGTCTCGTTCTCACCGGATGGTACTCGCATCGCATCCGGTTCATTTGATCACACTGTGCGGATTTGGGGTGTAGTGAAAGTACAGCCATGCCCCGAGTCAAGAGAGCCAGATTCATCCTCGTCTTCGTTGCATCAAAGCACTGCACCTCCCATCCAATCCCCCGAGTCAAGACAGCCAGATTCCTCCGCATCTCCGTTGCATCAAAGCAGCGCACCTCCCACTCAATCCTCTGAGTCAAGAGTATCAAATTCCTCCGCATCTCCCTTCCATCAAAGTACCGCACCTCCCACCCAAGAAAGCCGTGTCATACAAACCTGTAACAATCACCTACTTTCTTTCTCATCTAGCTTGGAACACGCTCTGCCCAACTCCACTGACTTGCTCGAAGCTCCCTCTCATCATGATTCTGATTCAACCTCTTTCTTGCTGCAAGCTGATGGATGGATGATGGGACCCAATCATCGGCTCCTTTTCTGGGTACCTCCAGCTTCCCGACATCCATTTTATTCTCCTGACACTGCAATGGTGATCCCGAGAGGAGGCGTTGAGCTTGATTTGAGCCGCATGGCACATGGAACACGCTGGTCCAGTTGCCGAGATGAGTGAGTTCTTAGTCTTTACCATCCCCTCGCAGTTGCTAACACCAATCCTGCTAGCTCCATGTAACGATGATCTTATTACAATATCGCGTTTACCATTTGTTTCTTTCATTCCTTGCCAAGTTTTATACCTAGTAACGAGCATGAATTTACGGTTCTCTGATTGAATGATGCGCTAAAACAGATTGAGTGAAACCCAAATGTTGCTGCCGATTCGTAAGAATACATGGAAAACTGATTTCATTAGAGATGTGTTTGTGCCCTTTAGATTTGATGCAGATATGGAGGTGTCATTGACCACTGCGGGTGCTTTGATCAGTGTTCATCACCGTCAGTGCCGAGGAGATCACTTTCAAACTGGAAGCTCTCATGACAGCCCGAAGTCTTTCCTCGCGCGTACAGAGAGATACGTTGGTCGACTCAACCTCATGTCTGAGATTACTGCAGTGAACGAACTTCGGCATACTGCACGCTGGTATCATGACAGACGGAGGATGCCTCTTCATGGCTCCTTACATATTCCGTCGGGCTGGCACGACAACTCCACTAGTGGATTGCTGCCGGCTTGAAGGTTTGATTGTTCCTGCAGGGCATCGCTCACACCCGAGTCTACGAAGAGGTTTGGAATAAATCAACTCCCTGGAATGTGACACAACTTCCATCGTTGACGCTGGTAGCTGTTAACAGTGACCTGCATCCCAGACGAATCACGACTGCACAGTTCATATCAGAGAGTGCAGCTCGGGGATCACGAGTGAGTAAGATTCATATTCATTTGTGTATGTCTGTAGCGGACAGACGTGTAAAAATCTCCCGGTCTGCTATGGCGAACATACGATTATCATTCTTGGTACAAAAAGACGGCAAGTACTCCTCATTCGTCAATGCCAATTGTTACTGGGGGATCGGACTCGATCTTCGATGACAACTTCCCGAGTTATTCAAGAATGCAAGTACCAAGAGCTGGTATCGGGTATCATGGCAGGATCGTGGACGCGGCGTGTCGAGTCATCGTTTGATCTGGACATCAGATCTTCAGAGAGAGGAGTCGACGAATGTCAGTGCGAGAGGAGAAAGAGGATTAGCAAGCGAGCAAGGTCATAAGTTCGCACGGCGAACACAACATTCGCTTGCAGTGCTTTGTAGCACTCTGTAGCAAATTATGTTTTCCTGATGGGCCTCTCAGACACTTTCTTGATTCCACTGATTGCGGCACTCATTACAACGAAACAAGACATGTACAATCAGTTCCGTGCCTTCAAGTTCTCGCGCAACATATTGTCCAATATGCGAATCTCTACGAAAGTGTGGAATGCCCTGTCTCGTGTCGGTTGCTTAAAGCCTGGATCATCGTGCCGTTAGACTGCTGTACAGATCTGATGGCACATTGTAAATGAGGCTATGAGAGCCCCCATATTTTGCAAGTCGCTTATGTCCTGTTGACTCATCGGCGCTGCCAAGGCTTGATACCATGTGCATGCTTCCTTGTCAATCCTTCAAAACTTTACAGGCACTGCATTGTTTCGTGACCAGCGTTCATTTCGATACATCCATCAGCCATCATTTTCACGATGGCTCATCGTCGGCGTGTCTCTTCAACCTCATCAGAATCAGGCTTTTCTTCAGCGTCGTCGCTTAGAACTTTCCCAACTCCTCCAGTAGAGATATCCGCTTCCAGCACCGAGCCCTTGAAAGGGGGAAGACATAAGTGTAAGTTGTCAGGCAGCGATAATGACAACAAGACGAAGAGTTCTAAATGTCTACAATCGTAAGTCGCTTCGTTGTATACCACATGTATGGACTTAATTTCGCGTTTTCAGGCAAAAACAAGATAAGTAAGCATATGAAGCACTGTTCATCTAAACGTACGACAATCTGCTTATTATCTAGTGAGGAGCCGAACTACCCAGACCACACCCAGGACCCGGCAGGGATGCACCTCAGTGGAGTGCAACAAATCATCACTGGTGTGCGATATCCATCTCCGCTCAGCTCGTATTGACCATTTCCCTCAAGCCATTTGCGCGACTGATCTCACTCTTGGCCTCCGACGGATCCCTGCTGGCTTCCATGCAGTGATCAAGGCCGACGGCGTTGAATACCAGACAAGCAATATATCTGTAAACGTAGACCAGGCTGCCATCGAATGGCACGAGCGCATTCTTTTGTAAGTCGTCTTTAAACCATCTGTCCTGCAGGTATTGAGAAAGATCCTAGGCCGTGCGAGCCATGTTCTAAAGTCCGGGTCAGCGTCTATGCCTCATTCGAATTGGGTCCCATGCTCTGTCACGGAGAGCTCCTCCGCACGTTCGAGATCTCGGTCGGAGAATTACTGGATCGCAGCGAAAAATCGCATCGTCAGTATTGTCCATTGCGCACAATGCCTGACAGATGCTAACGAGCATCACAGCCATAATGTTTCAGCCAAAGCAGCAGGAAACCGTATCCGCTTGTACTTCACTACTCTTCACAGTGGAGCAGCAACTTTCTGATCAAACCGATGCCGCAATTCTTTGCCCCCCTACTACTGTGAGCAATCAATGCAGTCTGACATTCTGATATTGAAAGCCGTAACGTGTAGCCTACATACCACAATATGGATGCATTAGCGCTGGGGACAGATGCCGGATATCGTCTTCTCGCACGATACCGTAGAACCCAGAACAGCAGGGATCTCGAGCAATGCATAAAACACTTTGAACATGCCTCAGATCTCTGCCCCGTGGATCATCCCTGCCGCCCTGCAGTGCTGTTCAATCTCGCCACCGCAAAGTTTGCCAGTTGCCAAGCTGAGGGAAGATGCCTCGACCTCGACATCCCTATCTCTCTGTTTCAAGGAGCCCTCGACTTGCGTCCCACCGGTCATCCTGATCGAACGGTCACCCAGCTGCATCTTGCCGTTGCTCTGCTCTGGCGCTTCGCAAAACGGAGAGTTCAAACGGATGCTGATGCAGCCAAAAAGTTACTGGGCGAAGTCGTCGGTGTCTGCCAACCTAACAGCCACATTTACAGAGCGGCTGCGATTGCAATGGAAACATGCGCTCTACATTCTGCTAGAGGCATTAATGCAAATGATCTTGGGCAGGAGTGGCACGCCCCATCCATACTTCCGTTATCGCCGGATCAACTTGCTAAACAAGCACAGAGGTGTTTGGAGAGAGATGAACCTAGTGCCTTAGATGAAGTAATATCCCTTCATGATGATGCACTGGGATACTACAGCACCGGGCATGCTTGCCGAGGGCACTTGCTAGGTAATCTAGCTATGATGCTACAGACTCGTTTCGAGCGTCGAGGCAATGACAAAGACTTGGATCAAGCTATCGCACTTCAGTCGGAGATGCTGGCTTTGTGCCCAGTCGGTCACACAGATCGGTCCCAGTCATTAAACAACCTCGCGAATCATCTCTCCTTCCGCTTTCACCACCGATCCAACGGCGAAGACTTGGATGAGGCTATCACACTTCAGAAGGAAGCGCTGGCTTTGCGCCCGGTCGGTCACACAAATCGGTTCATTTCATTAAACAACCTCGCGAATCAACTCTCCTTCCGCTTTGACCACCGAGGCAATGGCGAAGACTTGGATGAGGCTATCGCACTTCACAGAGAAGCGCTGGCTTTGCGCCCAGTCGGTCACCCAGATCGGTCCATGTCATTGAACAACCTCGCGAATCATCTCTCTTCCCGCTTTGACCATCGATCCAACGGCGAAGACTTGGATGAGGCTATCACACTTCAGAAGGAAGCGCTGGCTTTGCGCCCGGTTGGTCACACAGATTGGTCCATGTTATTGAACAACCTCGCGACTCAACTCCACTCCCGCTTTCACCACCGAGGCAACGGCGAAGACTTAGACGAGTCACGAGAGAACTTACTCTGTGCATTGACGTTGTTGAGGCAGCATGATCCTCGTCAATTGATGGTCCATGAGTCTATAGCTAAGGTATATCTATCATTCCATCGTTCAGAATTTCACGGCACCGGCCCTGGCGAAAATACAGATAGTCTGAATGCTGCCATGCATCACTTCAAGGCAGCAGCAAATATTGTCTCTGCAGGCTTTCTATCCCGCCTGCGGGCAAGTCTACGTTGGGTGCTCCATGCTGGTCAACATCTACATGGTACTCAACTGGAGGCTTATGCGACTTCCATGCAACTTCTGGACGCTTACATGTCTGTGACGGCCTCCGTATCATCTCGTCATAATATCATGAAGGAATTCCCAAGTATAATTGTCGTGGATACTGCATCGTGTGCTCTTCATAGTGGTGACGTGGGTCGCGCTGTTGAGCTGTTGGAGCAGGGCAGAACTATCATCTGGAACCAGATGACTCGACTCCGCACGCCTCTCGACGGGCTCCAGACTTACGACGATCATGCAGTGACTCTGATGAAGAGATTCTCAGACCTCAGCTCCCTCCTTGATAAACCTCCTGCAAGCCATCCAGAAGGGGCCCCAAAGGTCGATGTGGAAGCAGAAGCCACCCGGTACAGACGTCTAGTGGAGGACTGGAATGGAACTGTGGAAGAGATCAGGAAGATCGAGGGCTTCTCTCGCTTCCTGCTTCCCCCTTTGTTCTCCGATCTTCAAGATGCAGCTCGTGATGGGCCCATCATCATGCTCATCGCAAGCAAATCGTCTTGCGATGCCATTATTATCCCGCACAAGCAACCTCCCACCAGCATCCAGCTCCCTACCGATATTCAGAAACTCATCAAATTAGTAAACACATTCCAAGAGGCAGTTGACAAAGAGACTGGGCATCAACAAGCGCTGACGGGAGCTTTGAACGAGTTGTGGAACAATGTCGTCGGCCCAGTGGTCGAGAATTTGGGCGGATTGGTACGACTAGGTTCCCGAATATGGTGGTGCCCAACGTCTCTCTTCAGTTTCTTGCCGTTGCATGCTGCTGGCGAGTACAGAGAGAGGGGAAAGTTTCTTTCGCAGCTGTATATCTCTTCATACACCCCATCTCTCACCGCGCTGATCAAGGCTCGCGCAAGTCGTGACAGACCCACGTCGATGCCCTTCGTCGTCATTGGTCAGAACTTCCCAGCCGGTGCCTCTTTCACTTTGGATGCTGTGGAGCCTGAGCTGGAATTGGTGCGGAAACTTTTGCCTCCTCCCCCAACTGTCTCCTTCTCCAAGATAACCAGTGTTGATGCCACGAAATCGAGAGCATTGTGCGCATTGCGCGAAAATACTTGGTTCCATCTCGCATGTCATGGGACACAGAGATTTGACGAACCCTTCAAGTCGGCCTTTCTTATGCGCGACCAGCCTCTTTCGCTCCTCGATATTGCACAAATGGATCTGTCTCAGCATCATTTTGCCTTTCTTTCTGCCTGTGAAACCGCCGTCGGTGACTTCAGTACGCCCGACGAAGTGATACACCTAGCGGCTGGCCTGCAATTTGCTGGGGTTAGGAGTGTCGTCGGGACGTTGTGGAAGGTCAACGATGATACTGTGCAGCGCTTAGTCAAGGCATTCTATGAAAGGTTTTGCAAGGGTGGCACAATGAATCCCAAACGAGCTGCCCAAGCGCTGCACGGAGCGGTCCAGTCGTTGGCTAGTGACGTAAACATACCCTTGGCCCAGCGCATAGTGTTCGTGCATATTGGCATATGATCAATTTCGTGCGTCCTCCCACCTTGTTGATGAAAGCATTCTTGAGACAATCTGACGACTTGGCATCTAGTCATAGCCACGCGCAGCCTATTGCCAAGGACTTCGATTTTCGGACTTTGAGATTGTATACCTACACGATATGTACACCCAATTTTGAGTTGAATCTCGTATTTTCCAGTTTGTTGCCTCGGAGCCGTGGGGGTGATCGCTTCTAAGGTGCAAATCCTGATGGTTTGTGGGTAAGAATGAAGTTGCACGACACTGATCCGGCATAACCCTCATGTAGCAAGACACGCTTTGCGATGAACGTGATAATCGACTGTCTGAATTGCGTGAGGGCGTTGAATGCAATCCCATTTACCATGCAACACCAAAATCCAGTGCTTCATCCCTGGCAGGATAGACACCATAGACGATGAAAACTAGTGGCTCGTTCGCTTCATTATGTTTTCAGAATTGATACTAAAAGTGTTGAAGCTCGCGAGGGAGTCGACGTGTCCATTCATGACCTGATTTTCAAGATTTCTGACACATATTCAATGGTATATATTGTAAAGACAACAGTCACTCGGACACAAGCAACGGACTATACACTGTGGTTTGACAATGACATGTAGGATGTGGTTTGTATATGAGTGAAGAACGTAGGTGTGGGTTTGAAATGTGGATTTCAAGAACTTGTGGCAGTCTGTCCCGGACAAAGTAACAGACTACTTATATCAGATTCTCCCCTGTAGTACCAAGTACAAAGAACCTAAACACGGTTGACTGTATTGAACTTCTGCTACTTGGAGTAGGAAAAAAAACTCACCATCATGGCATAAAATGACAACAAAATGAACCCCTCTGCCCAGTTCGTTTTACTGTCGGCAGTTACAAAATTTACAAGGAAGCAGGCACCCAAGAGTAGCGCAACTTCGAAGAAATCTGACGGGCTCTTCAGCTTTGGTGGGCAATAAGCATCATACTCGTCAGTGACGCACCAAACAGCAGGTTGAAAGGCTTTCCGATCCACCAGCCAAGTAAAGTTAGGAACGGCATCCAGAGCAAGACGAACTGAATGCTCAAATCAATAGCTTCAGCTTTGGCCAGAGGACTGGGTGGTTCAGGGTCCTCTTTCCTAGACCACACTCGGGAAAGGGCCTTCTGCAAAAAGTAGCCTACTGCAACAACACCATCCGCTGAGAAGGAAACAAAGGGCAAGATGACCAAGCCGAACCACTCCGACGTGATGCCGGAAATATTCCTCACAGGCTCGATGCTGTCCACCAACTGCTGAAAGTCAATGAAGGTAGACCTAGTTGTTCGACGACACTCACCCACTCCGAGGTCACAGCCATGACCCCAATGTTAACAATCAGGAAGCAGATGCAGACCCATTGGTTAACGTCAGGCTCCTCTTTTTGTAGTTTTTCATCATCAACCTTGAACTGGGCGGGTGCCAAAGAATGGGTCAATAAGGTGTTTCCAGCACCAGGAGGGTTGTGATAGAAAATCCGCGAACAAATGTATCTGACAGCAGGGCTTGTCACAAGTCAGATGGAAGATAAGGAAAGGAACCTACATGATAATTAGCATCATTGCAAGCCCTCTGCTCATGTTCAAGAAATCGGATTGGGTGCTGCTACCAAGGTCCGAGAGTTCGCCGTTGGCCAATATCGCATTGGAAGTACCACTGTTAATAGCTGCATAGAATGAAGCCGGCAACAAAAGGGCTAACACCCTGTGCATGCAAGAGGCTGTCACTCATAGCTCCAGATGATAATAAAAAAAACGTACCCAACAGTAAGCAAGGTATGATTGAGTTGAGTATGGACAGGGTGCAGGTCCTGTTCCCATATTCGAGCACCGCCTGTAAGAAAAGCGGCTCCAGGTACAAGAAGGAGGTGCAATAAAATCACGCCTGCATTGAAGATAATGGGGTTTGTTTGTTAATACTGTGAAATAAAACTGATGTTTTCGGAGCTTACCAGTGATGGTCGATTGAAGAAGCTTGAGTCTTATGAAGTATGGTTGGATCACGCTGATGATTGAATGTTATCCAAAGGATTACTTACTCGCACTGAAGCAGGAGCATGATAGCGAGGGTCACCTCAACGGCACTGCAATTATTTAGGCTATGAATACGAAACGAATGAAAGAGGTTGGCCTTACTTGTTCAAAGTGATCGTGAGCAAGTCGCCAAGATCCTTGCCCAGATAAAAAGCCATCTGTTCACCACAGTAGTCGAACAAGCATTCGTGTGGTATAATTGTCAAGAAACAAACTACATAAGAAAAATGAGCGCTACTGATGAATCAATCGGGAGAAAACATACGTGAAAAGACAACAGTATGATTATTATCACCGAAATGTTCGTCGATATGCGCCCACCATGCTACCGGCGTCAGGAGCAGCAGCACATTGAGCCCTGTGATAACCATGAGGTACTTGACCACATTGCACAGGTGGCAAAGACGCACATGAACATCCATATATTTTCTTAATGCTCTGTATCACGCCAATAGGCTCCTTGCCTCGCCGGAGGAAACGGTCCAAGGTGGTTTTGAATCTCTGTTTCCGAGGCTCGCCAGTCTCGAGATCCTGTTTGTTTACTGAACCGACTTCTGTGCTCGAGAGAAGATTGGGCGATTGTTGGCCATTACATTCCTGAGAGATGATTTGACTGTCTGCGACGCTGGTGTTTTGTCGAACATGGGTACCTCTACGCTCTGCCATGGACTAAGGGATGGGGAATTTGACTGGGGTGTGATCCTGGTACCTCATTATACAGGCCGCGCATTGTGACATGATAGACGCTGTTATGTGAAGCTCGGAGTCGAAATACAACCGGGGAACATGGGCTTGGCGCGAACTGCAGGTTGCGTGGGTAATTAGTTGCGTTATCCAGATTCCAGGCTGTGGTCTATGATACGGTATATACCGAGTATAAATCAAATGATTTTACAGTCGGAAACTAATAAAACTTGTAAATCCACGAAGTCACTATGGAGAGGCTCGTACTACAGCTGCTCAGTACTCAGCACTCAAAATAAGTACCAGTCCATCACACGGTTCCCTGGTCTCGAATCAATGATATTTTTAACTACAATTGATGATATCTAGGATATCGACAGGACCGCCTTAGTTGCTCGGTAGCATTGCAGACACTGCAAATATCAATCCCCACCGAAAGGCTACTGCTAAGTCAACATTCCGCCCGCAAAAATTTGAGTCTGAGGCTCTGAGCTCGTCTCTCGGAGCTACGCCACTCCGACATGTCGGATGCCACGTGTCACGGTCCAATCGGATCTCTCAGTGGGTCACAGGGTTGCTTCCATACACACAGAAAAAGACAGTCCAATCCAAAGGGGGCGTAAACATGCACCCTACAGGAGTTCGTGTCCCTTCTCGAAGTCATCGGCGGTGGCCAGTAACATATCTTCGGCACTCTCTCCATTAATTATCACAGTGGAAGATAGATTAATGACCTCGGGAGGAATGTCAGTAATGGCGGCCATGTTTCTATCAACAGGGTTTCTCGGGATCGCAGATGCTAGGGAACCATTTCATGCACGATATAGAAAAAACTTGCATGAGCAGCGACCTACTTAGCAACCCGAGCCATCCTCTTGCAAAGTTGTCTTCGATATGGAAAGTTATTCACGAGATGTAGGAAGGAAGGCGTAGTCAACAATGGTGCCCATGACTTGACTCTGACATTGTAACGCGTGTTCGGGCTTTTTTTGGGCCTGGATCTGCTGTTCACCACGCATGGGATCGTAATCAAGAATACACCTCATTGCCGCTGCGCTGCTCGTCTTGTGCACGCGGAATTGCAGTTTGATACAAACATGAAGCGGAATCTTCTCCATCTTGTCCTCCAACATGCCTTTGGAGCTGTAACACGGTTCAAGCGCGAGGCATCAGCTACCGTCGATAGCTATATGCAAGACGCGGAGAAAATCAGAGACGGTCGGCTGGTCGAACGTTCCCGATTGTTGTCCAAATTCCACAAACATTCTAGGTTTGACCAAGCGTACTATGGGTATTGAGAGGGCGTCAAGCACGCTGGAGAGGCCATACAACATAATGGTGAGTTTACCTTGCTGCTGAACTTGTTTCATAGAGAATCCGAGGGATAAGGAAAGTGTTCGAGCATTTTTGAAGTAAGAAAAATCCATAGCTTCATCGGTCGTGTCTTGGTTGAATGTATGGATTGGAACAGTCGAGTTCCTGCAAAGTCGAATCTATCACATCCAAAAGCCATGTTGATGAGAGGCATCATCTTCAGGTTTTGCTCAGACTCATTTCGCCCTTCCAGTAGGATTGGACAGCGATCGCATACCGCGGGTATAAGCACGCAACCAAGTTTTGCTATAGCATTCAATTAGGTACGAGTGCGGTCACAGAAGAAACGCAAGCTCGTGCTTACCTCCGGTCCCGCACATGCTTGATATGTTTAATTTCAGTGGTATGATATAGTGAATCTACTAAAGATGAGCATGAAGAGGTCAAACAAACGTTGTGCAGTCCGAGGAGTATTCAGACCGACATTGTTGGGAACTATGATCAAGCAAATAAATTAATCGCAAGCTTGCAATACCGGGAAAGGTGAGTGCATTATATCGTGGAGGGCGGGCGACATATTGTAAGGGATAGAGCAGTACTTGCTGTTTAGACTCCAGATACGACCTTTTTAGCATCCATTTAATCATGCAGTGTGCTTCAACTTTGCGCCTTTGGCAAGGGAGACGGACGAGGTTAAACGACAAGGCCTGAGCTCAAAATATGAGCTAGGTATGTAGATGGAAATGAAATGATGCATGACTACGATATTCGCTTTAGTCACTCGACAATGGGGAATTGTATTGTTTGATTCTCAAGGTGTTGATCAATAGACCACAACAACCTTCAACAATACTATTATGGTTCTTGTGCAAGTCTGAAAGGAAGTCTTGTACCGCGTTGTTCCTTCCATACCCAGTTCGATACACTGGGCCATGGATGTCGTCACCAAGGTGGAAAACTGGATCGCTAATTGGAGCATAGAGGGAGAGTCTGAACTGTGCGTAGCTGTCTGCTTATTTTTTGTGGCGCCCAACCTAACGCCCTTGATTCGCAAGTCGAAATTTCCTCATTTCACCTCACTCGAATCCTTCCGACCCTATTTGCGCAGAGGCTCTCACGACCGCTTACCATGCCCTTCTTTTGTCTGTCCTCACTACATGGCAGCCCAAGCAGAGTCCCTTAAATGCGCAGGCTCTCGTAGCCTTCATCCAGTCTGTTCTCCTTGCACTTCCGTCCTCCTCCTCGGCGCGTGCGGGTCCACCCGTGCAGAATGTTGTGTTCGGAGAGATTCTTGTGGATGTTCTATGGTCTACAGATGCTCAGCTGGACGAGTTCTTAACGGACGCAAAGTCTGCCTTAGTGGGCTCTGAGCAAGCTTCTGGAAGCCAACAAGTAATGGACACCCCCAAGAAGGTTACTACAGATGTTGCAGGAAACGCAGCTCAACTGAGGCATTTTGTTGAACAAGACAAAGAAACCTTAAGCGAACTCGTCAAACGACTTTTAGTGAGTGCCGGTATACGATCTTACAACATTCTAAATTCATCCACAAATAGTTCACTGGCATCATTGATCTCGCCGTATGTCGAGAGCGCCTTGACTTGACTGTTCTTGCCAGCGCCGGTCTGATTTCGGATAGAATGTCGTTTGACAAGAAAGAGATACGAACTCGCACCGGGCTTTTGTGAGTCAAGTATAAACATTGAATCATATGTCATCTGATTCTCGTGCACGTAGCTATAAACAGAACAAGTTCAACCTTCTACGTGAACAGTCCGAAGGCTACAGCAAGCTTTCGGTGGAGCTAACGAGTTCCTTGGGTCCTGCACACTCACATGCTGATGCTAGGCCGGTGGAAAGCTATGCTTCTATTGAAGACCGTGCGCGTCAAGTCTGGGAAAAAGTTATCAGCCTCATTGGTTATTTCGACCTGGACCCAAATCGCGCCTTGGACATTATCTTGGATGTATTGTCGGTCAACGTGGCGACTCACTACACATTTTTCTTGGCGTTGCTCTCATTTTCTCCATGGACCGGACTGTATAGACGTCCCGCAATGTCCACTGCTAGCCGCATGGCTGTCGATCCCGTTACCGAAGGGTTTGGGGACAAAAGCCTGGATGAAGTGTTGCAAATCACTGAAGCAAATACTAGCGATCAGTCGACACCATCATCAACAATTGATAGCGGCACAGAGTCTCGAGTGTTAGCACAAGTGCTTGGTTTCAAATTCTCCCATTACCAGGTCGGTTTCTTCAGGACGAATTGGTGCTTGCAATTCACTTGTCATACAGTCCTCAGAGACCCACGAATCACCCCTGAGGAACCTCTATCTAACTGCTGCCATCTTGATAAGGGAGGGTTTCATTACCGTGGAAGATCTTTACCCTCATGTGAGGACATATTTCTATCGAATGCCTGCTGACTCCTGACAATGCAACAGCTTACTCCGAGGGATACGGACATTGAGACATATCACAAGGATTATCTTGCCCAGGTTCAGCAGCGCATTTCTGATGCCAAGATTAGTCAGCTCGCCATGGCAGCTCCTTTGGAGTCTTCTAGCTCAGGCTCGCAACCTCGTGTAGAACCTACGGAAGTCAAGAAGAGCGCCGTAGAGTCCAAACCTCCTAATCAAATTGCTGGGCTTGTCAACGGCCTTCTCTCCGTAGGAGCCTTACGCCCGGCGATGGCTATTCTGACGAGGATTCCCTGGCTTGTTGACGCTCACCCCGAGTTGGCCGACCTGATCCTGAGGGTTCTGAAGTATTCCATTGCTCCTCTGTATGATGCAACATTTGTCCTCAAAGAACGCAATCCGAGTTTTACACAACCTCGTACACGGTTCAGCGCTACTGGAACACTGGCAGTTCCAGCTCGTAAATATCAGCTATCATTAATAGCTCCCACTCCTCCCAGCACTGCGTCAGTCGACTTTGTCTTTTTCTTTCCTGACTGGACCCAGCGTATCCCACTTTGCACTTCCTTCGACGACATGGTAAATGTAATCGAACCTTTGATGAGTTTCATTGGGCTGCACGTATCGCGCGACGCCTTGTTTGTTACAAAGATTACGAGGCTAGGGCGCTCACAGCTGTTATCAATTGTAAGTCATTTATTTGCTCATCTAACCGGTCTCAACTCGATCAACCATAGATTCCATTGGATCCAATTTCCAGAAAACCGTCAGGGGAAGCCGACGCGAATCATCCCGTTCGACAGTTTTGGTTCAAACTTCTTCGGTTGTACTTTCTTCCTGCGCTCCCTCTAATTCGAGGCAATGCAGTTTGTACCGTCGACATCTGGAACGTAATTCGACAGTATGAGACGACTGCAAGATGGAGACTATACGGAGAATGGAAATCCGGTTACATATCTCATCCTGAACTTCGCATTCGGCAAGTACAAGCTGACCGTGAAAGCAAAGGCATTCTGCGACGTCTTTCCCATAATACAATCGAGACGCTATCTGGAACAGTGGCGAAATTGGCCCATTCGAATCCTTGTATCTTCTTCATGAACGCCGTCAACCAGATCATGGCATATGACAATCTTGCCAATGTCGTTATACAGGCATTGCGATATGTCACCAATATGGGATTCGATGTACTTGTGTATGTCATCCTTGAGGCTCTATCAAATCCCAATAAGAACCGTGTCAAGGATGATGGAGTCAACACTTCCGACTGGCTTCAAAGTTTGTTCTATTTTGCTCTTTTGTTTTTACTGTCCTAAGCACTTGTTTTAGGTTTAGCGTCCTTTACTGGCATGCTTTTCCGGCGGTACAGTGCTGACCTGTCGCCTTTGTTGAAATATGTGGTTCACCAGCTGTACAATGGCCAGACGACAGAGATTGTCGTGCTGCGGGAGCTGATTTGGAAGATGGCAGGCATTGAACCTCTTCCGAGCCTTTCTGATTCGCAAATCGCTGCGATGGCTGGGGGACCTGCTCTGAGAATTGAAGCCGTTGCCTCAACGACTCGTGGCGCTCGCCTTGATCCAGGCGACGCTGTCCTCAAAGGCCCACAGCGGCTCGGGAAGACCATGTTAGAGACGAATCTAGCACTACCTCTCCTTATCCAAGTGGCACAGCAAAGGCAGTCCTGTGTTTTCAAAGCTCCTGATGCTCACTTGAAGTCCCTCGCCAGTTTGTTTGATACTGTAAGTCGCGTCATGGCATATGTTATGTGTTCTCATCGTCACTCTAGACTCACGGTGTCCTGCTGCAATATTTGGATTTGCTTACCTCGCCAGCCGTAATCTCGCCTAAAGACTATGCAACGCGGATTCTTCCTAGCCTTGCAGATCTTGGGGAGTTGTATGGGATAGCGCCTCCTATCTGCATGCAAATTATACGACCTATGTTGAATGCTACCATACTGGTGAGACATGCAATTATTTTTGTCATGCATGACAACTGAGCACTGTTGTAGAGTGCTGCCCAGGAGAAGGAACGACTTGCCAATGAGGAAGCGGAAAAGAGACTGAAAGCACGCCTCTCTGCGGCAAAGCGCGAGCCTTCCGTTGCCACTCCTAGAGTGGATTCACCTACTGGAGTAAATGGAGCCAACACTCCTCGAGACACTGGTGATCAGAAGTCGTCAGCTGACAGTGTGCCAGAAGATGCAGCAATGGATGTCGAAGCGACTACGGCAACTTCAGCTCCGTCCGAGGTAAGCCACACTTAAATAATAAGAGAATAACGTTTACAAGCTTATCTTTGCAGAGCCCGTGGATACCGGATCTAGAAGCTCTTTTCGACGACGTTAAGCAGATTGCCAAGAATAGTGCTCTTGATGTCATTGGGTAAGTTATGCTTCTGACGAGGTACCTGCGATATTCAAGACTTCACAGGCCCGGTTTTTATCTGACTTTCTGGCAACTTTCCATGTATGATCTGGCGCCTCCGGCAGCCCGGTACGATGAGGAGTGCGCTGCTTTACGGACACTGAGCCGTCAAGAGGACTCTAAGTACATAGCAGCTGATCGTTCTGCTGACAGAACGAAAAGGCTGTCAGCGGGCTCCCATCGGGCTAAACGAGACAGATACAATGCCTTTGTGAACACTCTTGCTCAGGAATTCAAAGAACAAACTGCCTCGAGAGTGTTTACGATGAAACGACTTGCCCGAGAGAAGCATCATTGGTTCGCCCACAGTAAGGCTTTTTCAGTCACATTTATTTCAATTTCTGATATCATTATAGCCGAACATCGCTCATCGGTCCTGGCTTCTGCAATCATCGAGCATTGCATTCAACCGCGATGCCTCCTATCGCCTATGGATTCAGACTTCTGTGCACAATTCATCAAAGTTATGCACACACAAGGGACTCCAGGGTTCCCCACTCTCGTAGTATATGACAAGGCAAGTTCCTTTCAATCTGTAATTTACCACACCACATGCTGAGGGGTGTTGTTAGTTGCTCGGGGACCATGTGAAGGCGGTTGTCTTTTCCTGTAGCGAATACGAAGCAAAGAACTATGGTGAGCGATCTACATTTTGTGATCATGGCTATTTGTAACTGTAGTTGTTAGGGCGCTTTTTACTGGGAATATTGACGGATCTTTGGAAGTGGGCTCAAGATGAGCAGCTCTTTTTGACGGAGAATCGTACGAAAGTTGGCGGAAAGACTATTCTGCTTCCGGGTTTCCAGCATAGATGGTCAAGTAAAGACCATGCGAGTATTGTTCCAGACGATCTTCTGTCATGGACCGGGTTCAAGCAGATTCTCCGTAAATGGCATCGAAAACTGGGACGGGTATGTTTCTGGCAATCTTCTAATGATCAAACTGACATTTGTCCTTTCAAATAGAGTCTTCTGAGCTGCATTGAGACAACGGAATTCATGCACGTCTACAACGCTATCATCGTGTTGAAAGAGATTCTTCCCGTTTTCCCTCTTGCTGCAGTGGGCGATGCTGGACCTGCTATCGACAACGTAATGGAAAAGTTCCTGGAAAAGGAAGAACGCGGTGACCTCAAGATTCTAGGCAGAGCGTAAGTCTGTTACTTCAGCTGTTTGTAACAATACTCATAATGAACAGTTATTCCGCGAGTCTGAGAAAGCGAGAGCCGTTCTGGGCAGTGCCAAAGCCAATTGCAAACAAGGTAGCATTCACCTGTTGCAGAATACAACCTCTTTTGACCCTCTCTCTACGTAGTCTAATGGGGATCCCATGTCGCCGAAGCCAGCAAATTTAGGTAATCTTCCCGAGAAGCAAGCTCGCACTCCAGCTCCTCCTAACGGGGCTGCAACGCCTGCGGCAGATCGAGTTAACACTCCGGTTTCTTTCCTTCGTGCCAATGGAACTGGCCTCACAAAATGTCGTTGATCGACCCTCCACACCAGCAACGTCCACCAGGTTAGCCATTGACAGGCATGTACCAATTTTCATGTTATTGTACTAGTTACTCATCGCCTGTGTAGCATCCCACGGCCAGAGAAAGTGAGGCGAGTACGACCTGAGAAGGGCAGCGAGTCGCCAGCGCCTGACGGTGATGCCAAGGGTGTTGCAAAGTCTGACGTGATGGATGTCGACGCGCCTCTGAAGGAACTGAAATCAACGCAAGCATCAGTTTCCGAACACATTCTTCGCCCTACCCCTCGTCTCCACCAAAGTTCCTCCCAAAATGCCCTTCTGTCTACTCCGACTGTCAATGCTAAAGACACACCCAAACTTCAGCGGACATCGCCGTCAAGTTCTACTCCAAATGCGTGGGAACCCCCACACTCACCACACCCTAGACCCGATGAGAAGCAGACACAACCGTCCCCAAGTGAGGCTATGCCACCACCGTCTGCTCCAAGCCAAACAATCTCGGCGCAAGAACTGCGCGAGACTGCCAAACAGAGTATTGGCAATCGCCCACCAGATCGGGCCGATGATAAGCGATCTCAACCTGGTTCTGGTGCCCCATCCCCAATTTCTCGTCGTCGCACTCCTTCCCCTCCACCTCGTCCTGGTACAAGAACTCACAGTATGGAGAGTCGTGCTAGTGGCCGACGTTCTGATCGTGGAAGTGGCGATGGCGATCGTCCTGATGACAGGCCATCTGACCGTGAGGCTCGGGTGGAATCTCGTGCACCTACAGGGCGTAAAGACGCTGCCACACACCCCCGAAGTGATAGAGGCACCCGAGAGCGAACATCTACTCGAGATAGTGATCGAGACAGAGAGAGCGAAAGAGACAGAGATTCTCGCAGGGACAGACATAGTGAAAGGGACCGCGACAGAGAGAGAGAGAAGGAGCGGGATCGAGACAGGGATCGAGACAGGGAGAGGGAGAGAGAGAAGGACAAGGACAAAGATCGTGATCGTCGTGACCGAGACAGAGAGCGTGATAGGGACCGCGACCGCGATCGCGACCGTCACCGCCGAGATGAGAAAGATCGTGACAGGGATTCCAGGAAAGATCGCGAGGTTTCCGGTCGTGGTCCTCCTTCTACCGCAGCCTCTGCTACCCTGGACACTCGTAATTTACCCACTCGTCCTGATCCCACAAGACACAGTAGCCGAGCACAAATTGGCGATGATGCACTTGGCAAGAGAAGACGTCCTATTGATGATGAGGTATTAATCTCACTCTTCACTGTCACGAGAGTGCTTAACTTTGGCAGGCTGACCGTAATACCAAGAGGAGCTCCCGTAAGGAGGGACATCGTGAAGATCGCATCCGCAGGTCAGAGAAGGAGAGTCATGATCGACCTCGAGAATCCGAACGGCGTCGGGAGAGAGAAGTACCTGAAGCCGAACCACGCCACCCTCTATCTGAACGAGTACGTCACTTTCGTGCTTTCCATCGTCATGTTGCTCACGATACGGCCTTAGCCCGGCGAGAAGCGATTACCAGAGGGTCCTAGAAACTTACCTCCTAGTACACCTTCTGCACCACGGGCGATGGCATCTGGGGATGCCTCCAGAACTAAACCGGACATTACTCCTAGCCGAAGTGGTGGGGACTGGAAGGGTCCGCGTGACCATGGATCGCACCCATTCCCGGCCTCCACCAGCGGCGGGCTGAGCCAGGACGTGGCTCCGAGTTTACGTTCACGCATTGGCGACAAAGAGCCTCACCGCACGACTCCTCAAGTACTGTATCGCTCCGAAGCTCCGCATAAGGACGACGACCGCGATAACAGAAAACGAACTCTAGCAGGTATGTTATCATCTTAGATTCGACGTATTCATAACTCACTCTAACGAAGATCGCGATAAAGATGTTGGCGAGCCCACCATCTCCCCTGCAGGAGAACTCTCATTACAGCCTCAAAAGCGGCTACGAATCAATCGTAATCGGTACAATCCTCATGCCCTCCAGACTCATGGTTTAGCCAAAAGGACCTTACCTATAGATCCACAGGCTGGGGATAAATCTCGATCCACGCGTTAGCGCGAGGTCGCTTGACTCGAGTTTGCTCTGCTATTTGAGTTCTACAGTATATATATTTACATTACATCATGCACAAATGAAAGTGACTGATGAGGCTCCACTCTACACATGTCATGAATTATTAGATGGTATGTTGCTGTGGTGAATGAGTGACTACGAGTTGAATCGATAATATCCCGAGTTGAATCGCGGTAGGTGGCAAATAGCCGTGATCATCTTTTGATCAAGGTGAGGAATTCCTCTCGAGTCTTTTGTTGAGTTCGGAAACAGCCCAGCATGCAGGAAGTGACGGTGATAGAACCTGGTTTCTGTACACCACGCATGGTCATGCACATATGACTAGGCAGAACCGAATAGTAAGCAGAAGAATGCCAAGGCGTCGTAAACGCTTACGTTGCTTCCATAACGACTGCGACTCCGCGGGGCTTAATTGCCTCCTGAACGGCGATAGCAATCTGTTTAGTCAACCGCTCTTGAACCTGCAGACGACGACTGAAAGTTTCGGCAATGCGCGCAAGCTTGGAAAGCCCAAGCACTAGCTGATTTGGGATGTACGCGATAGCGACCTATGGAAAATTCCGAGCATGATTTATGAATGTCAGTGGCACGCGTAATATCGGGAGGGCCACATACTTTTCCTGTAAAAGGAACCAAGTGGTGTTCACAAAGGCTGGAAATATCGATTTCGCGGACTAGAACCATTTCATCGTGATCCTCTGCGAACACTGCATCGTTTATGACATCTGGAAAGGCGGAAATGAGATATAATGAGAACGAACGGGATTAGATCAGAGATAAGCTGGGTTTTTTTACCTGCTAATCGCTCTTCGTATCCCCGAGTCATCCACATCATGGCTTGAGCGAACCGTTCCGGCGTCTTCAACAAGCCTTCCCGGTTGGGGTCTTCTCCGATACATTCAAGAATAGTTCGTACCGCAGAGACCATCATTTTCTCACGCGCAGCGCGGTCTGTTGTGGTCTCGTTCAGACGAGACACGGTGGATTTGGCTGTCATAAGAATGAGTGTCATTAGGATGCTATTAGAGTGTCGTTGAGACGTACCAGGCCATCCAAGACCATTAGGGTCAGGAAGTGGGGAAGCTCCCTCGGTAGCACGACAGGGTACGGTGAGAGGTGTCGAGGTACCTGAAGGACGTCGAAAGCCATAACCGTCTCTGGGTTGAGGCCAAGAAGGATTGGCTGATGAGGATGCCACAAGAGAGTCGTTATCTGGAGCAGGGTCATTCTTAGATTGCAATTGCGGCTCCCCGCCGTCATGGTCTGACCCGGGATTCGTTTCGGATTGCTGGAGTTCTAGTTGTCGTAAACCATTTGACAAGAGCTCAACGTGAGATGTCATTTGCACCGAATTTAAAAGACCTGCTCAGTGAATCCCTTATCGCGTAGACTGGCTGTAGTATCAATACTTGGTTTGTCGTGAGTGCGAACGCGCCCGGTAAATTTGGCGGCGACTCCGCTGTCACAGGACCCCGGCTGCTCCCCGTGACAATTGCTTAGCGTACTTAAATCCGATGCATTGGCGTGGTCAACGGTTAGACAGATGCTGAATCCGGATGCTTAGCGCTCAGGAAGGTCGCTCAGGCAAGTCACTCAACGGCCCTTGAGGCCAGTACTAAGACGCGTCCAAAGAAAATAAAACCCAATCTGGCACGGGGCCGCGGACGTTTGATAGGCAAATTTTTGTTCTGTATGTAAGTCTGTAGAACGTTGATTTTATGTTGACAGATAGGTGGGAAGCTCCTGAACACGGTAGCAGTAACGAGAAATGGTCTTCGCAAATGGCATGGTCCCGAGATCGCAAGTCTGGCTAGACACGCTAGTAAGAGAGTGACGAGCAAGGCTGAATAAAGGTAGAAGAAACCAAGCAAATCACCTGAATAAAGACACGTATACCGTTCAGGCTAGTAGACGAAGAAAGGCGCTGTCATGTCGGGTACCTGTACCGCTTCCAATAAAACCTCTTTTGTGCAGGAGGTTGAGCCCTGGGATCACATCATAGCTAGAGGATTGATATCAGACCAAGAGTTGCTGGAATCAATCAACACGTACGGTAGCTGTTGTTCCCCAAGAGATGGCTATGGATAGCGCCATCGTTGTGGGTGGATTAAAGTCGCCACGTTGCCATGTGATGATGGTCGGAGACGTGTTCTGTGGATACTTGGCAAATTCATTATACGATGGTGGGGTCCTCTACCGAAAAAGGCTATTTGAAAGGATCTGCCCTTGGTTTAGCCGCCTGTTCAACCTACTCCGAGTCCTCCAAGTTGCCGTTACAAGTAAGTAGGTCGAGGCACTCACTCGCGTTCTGTCACTTTCCTTTATTGTCGTGTAAGAATTCTTATTCGCCCTCACGGAATCATCATTCAATATGCCACCCTCTTTCATTCCTGGATCGTTCTTATAAAGTTTCATAAACCTTATGTCTTCTGTTTTATTCTCACTAGTTCATGTCCCGGGACAGGTCTGCCAAACTCGTCCACCAGTGACCGCTGGTCAAATATCACCTCGGATCTCATCAAACTAGTAAGACGACATGCTACTTGTAGCGGAACAAAAAGCTTTGACGTGAACACCGAAAAGCTGTGACCCGGAAATCTTCATAAACCGGCGCTGTTTCCGGAATGGTTTTGTGATTCACCGCTCGTGTTCACTGAGAATGTGTCAAGGGTTGAAGCCTCGCGGCCTATGCTCACCTTCACAAACCAACAATACCAATCGTGTACGCCTCAACTCAAAGCATATCCCCTTCACATCATGCAGCTGCATCCAAAAGGCATGGCTATCCTCCCGTGTCATCCCTCGTCGCAGAGGATCATACCTCATGCCCGGCGCACATCGCCCAATCAACGAGGACAACATCAGATCAGCTATCACAATCACTCGTGGCTGCGTGTTTGAGTTGTTTAGAGTCCTTTGGAGTCTCCATCCAGTCCGCACTACGCTAATGATGGTCATAAACGTGGTTCGGGGCATGTTTCCTGCCTTCAGGGGCTATTCACAAGCAATGATTGTTGATGAGGTTGGTGAACCCCACTTGTTTCTTTCCTGTCTCTAACTTGGTCTCCAAGCTGCAAAATCTAATCTCGTCTGGTTGCTTCACTTGGTCGCGCCTATTGAAGCTACTGATCGTGGAAATATGCCGAAGAGCGGTCGAAACGGCGCTGGACTCCTTTGCGTACGTTCGCATATTCAAACTGCGGAATTATTTTCATGCATAAAATAGTTCCGCAAATGAGGCCGTTGTTCACGATTCAGTGCGCTTTTTCGTGGAATATCAGCAAATTGCACAACGTCTAAGGCTCGACATCCCGACACTCGCGGATCCCGTTGTGAGGGACTGCCTTCAAGAGTCCGATCTTTTCGTCAGGTCATTCAATGGCATGGGCGGGTTTGGGTTACTTTCGCCATTCGACTTTGTTCAAATTCTAGCACAGATATCAGAGCTCGCATCATATGTTTGGGTGTTGTTGACCTTAACAGGTGGCTCTACACACATGGGTGCTTTATTGCTATCCATCCTTTCCGCCCTATTCCCTCTTTTCTTGAACCGTTGTGGAATTGCTTCTTCACATCCTGACTCAGCCTATACAACCAGGGAGGCTCGTACCGCGGAGCGCCAGGAGAAGCTACGGAATCTCGCATATAATGACACACATCGACCGGAAGTCCTACTTTTTGGGCTTGGACCATGGATACTGCATTCCTGGGCAAATGCTCGCAAGGCGATGATGTATGACGAGCATCTGTCGCCAATAAATCAGCCTTCATTGTCACAGATACTGCACCAGATAAATGTATCCGATCTGCTGTTTGCACTTCAGAATGTGAGTTGCCACGCTTTCCATGGTCAAGAAGAAGAGTCAATGTTCCGTAGATTCCAATGTTCCTGATGTTTCAGTCATCGTCTGCGTCACTGGGATCACTGGCGCTGTATCGGAGCTCAATTCAGTCGGTGGTTTATACTGTTGGGAACTTGGTCAATACAGCCCGCATGGCATTTCAAGGAATATTTTTTATGGGTGCCTTTTGCGCTGCCATGAACATCGAACCTCGACTGACACCTCAGATCGAAGACGCGGAAATATATCCTAGCATAAATAATGGCATGAAAATTGAAGCGAGGTATTTGAAACTGTCTGTCGTTTCATATGTATTCACCTTCTATTTCCACAACAGAAACCTATCATATACATATCCAGGAAGCAAGGAGCCATCACTACAAGACGTCACATTTAGTCTAGAAGCTGGTGAAAGTCTTGCAATAGTCGGGTACAATGGCTCAGGCAAGTTCCGCCAGAAAATTCCTTCATGTCCATTCACTTATCAGAAGGTGTCCAGGGAAGTCCACCCTTGCCAAGGTGCTCCTCCGAATCATAGATTTCGACCAAGGTGATCTCCTTGTCAACGGTGTGGACATCCGTCGGTTAACGCCGAGCGATTATCACCGGCACGTCACGACCGTTTTCCAGGGGTTCTCTAAATACAGCTCGACCGTCAGAGAAAACGTTGGATTAGGATTTGTTCAAAACATGCAGTCGCCCGCCGCCATTGAGCACGCCATGCGTCTCGGTGGCTCAGATGCATTTGTAAGCGCATTGCCGAACGGAATGAAAACCAAGCTAGATGCCTCGGGTTTTGAGTTCATGCCGTACTCATCAGCATCAAGTTCATGTCATGGTATGTCCTCGCGGATGCAGCATGGCTTGTCCGGTGGTGAGGTAAGTTAGCCTATTACCACACAGGCATTTCTGAACTGAGTGTATTTTCAGTGGCAGAGAATAGCCATTTCTCGGGCATTCATGCGTGCAGATCGACCAGAAGTTGATCTCTTGCTGTTCGATGAACCTGTGAGTGTTTTCATACCTGCCACACTGATTAAATCTCATTTCCGAGGGTAGACGTCATCATTGGACGGTTGTGCTCAGAACAAAATATTCGATACTATCGACAAGGTCTCTCGTTCCCCCCAGGGCGAAAGACTCAAAACAGTGATTTTCATCACTCATCGTTTGTCGACCGCCCGTCGGGCGGACAAAATCGCAATGATGGAAAATGGGGTGAGTCAATCACCGCGTGGCGAGTCTCACGGCTTAACGCCCCTTCGTCATATACAGTCAATAACTGAGTTCGGGAGTCACGATGACCTATTGAAGAAGGGTGGTTCATATGCCACTCTATATAAAGCATCTGTTTAAAGCGGCAGATGTTCTTCCCTTCGCTCTCGTTCTTCCAGATGAACCATTTTTGCATACTTCATAGACTGCAATTTTTTCGAACAATACTAATCAGTTTACTTATGCATGTGGCGCCGTTAATGTACCGCTAGAACTTAGATATAGCTGTGCATCAAAACTGATCGCTCGTAGAATGGTCCATGTATACTACGATGCCATCATGAATGAATGCGTCCACATTTTTACCCTCCAGCGGCTCAGCGATGGCCAGCGGACTGTCGCAGAAGCCAACTACAAGGCCAGCGTCCCTGATTCCTTGAATCAGCGAAGGGACCTGCAACTTGAATTACATCACAAGGGTGAGAAGAGTTCTAGCGCCACGTAGTTGGTATCTCACCAATAATTTCGGATCGAAGAAAACACCCAAAAGGTTATTTCGTTTTGCGAAGTCAACGCCAGCAGCTACGCTGGATGACCAATAACGACATCCGGGACTTATATCATCAGCGCGGTATCTGGCCGACGCTCGTTGCCCCTCGTCAATTTGGCCGCATCGAGATGAAAAAAACACCGGATCTAGTCATACAGTAAGATATGGTCTGGCTCCAATGATGCGAGTCGGGGGAAGCACTGACAATTTGGTTGTTTCCAATTTAGTGCTACACAGACTTGTGGCGAAAATGAAGTGAGGGCAATTCGGCGACGAGCGAACGCTCCACCTAAAGCCGAAGTCTGCCGGATTGTGCGCAGCACGCTATCAACAGCTTCGTTCAGGTCCACTTGGCATCTTATGGAACCACGTTCTCGATGCCTGGCAGGCAGTGCCAACTCCAACGTAAGGCCGAGCTGCGTAGGAAGAATCTGCAAGGCAAATTACTTCAAAGAAACGATCGGGCATCACAAGATTGAGCCCCAAACCTGCATGGCATCCGCAAGAGTAATCATACTGCGTGACAGTATTCTGGACCATTCTTGCGCAGATACCGCTTTTCTAAACGACTTCTCATCGCGCTCCAATCGACTTGCCAGGGCCTGGAACTGTTCCAGATTAACGTCGGAAACGCCTAGGTCAAAAGAGGTCTCCGGTAGTAGATAGTCACCGAATATCACAGAATGCAGGTCGCGTGTGACTTGCACGGTGATATGCACGTGATTCCCGATCAATGATGACAAGGTTAAGGTGTGCAATGGGGAGGCGGCGTTGGAATGCATTGATGGTGACGTATATGTCGAATCCACTGAGCTGGGAGATTGCTGCCACGGCAATGATGTTTGCGAATTGGAAGGTGTGCCTCTGGGTATTGCCATTGATTTCCAGTAGGTTTCCACCGCACCGCCCACTTCCAACGTAACACCTTGAAATGGTGTTATAACATTGATTGAGACAGTAACCTGAAATGAATGGTCAATTGAGCGTCTGGCAAAATGAATGGCTAAGTTAAGCCTACTTCTCCGATACTATGAAGACGAGTATCAAGGATGGGAAGCGTGATATCCGATAAGCCATGACAGCCTTGGAAAACCGATGGGTGAGCAATCGCGCGCCCAATTGTTTTGGTGCCGAAATTGGGGTATATCGAAAATTCCAAGCTCAATCCTTTCAGCGATGGGGATTGGAAGACGAACACATCGCATTCTTCCATTTGAGGTAATAGAATGCTATATGGAGCAGCATTGACTCCAGGACCAGCGGTAATTACCATTTTCAGGGGCTTTGAAGATGGAAGTGACAAATTGGGCGCAATGATAGAGCTTGTCAGACGGGGATGGAGCGTTACACCTGCGCCTTGGAAAAGGTTATTGTTGATGGTAACTTCGACGAGATAATTCTTGTCCAAATAATTATGCCCATATACGCGATGCGGCATGATCGGGGGAGGAAGTGATAACGAAGGAATCTGATCAAACTCGGAATCCACTTGCATCTCTGCGTTATCCAGGAGAGACTTTGGGCCAAGACTAACAATTTCTGTGGCGTGAGGTACCTTAGCCGCAGCTTCGATAAGGATTTCAACAGACTCTCGATGACCATACCAGGCCGCATAATGAACCGCCTGATGTCCTACTTCATCAGTCGAGTCCATCCGAACACCAGCCTCCAGAAGAATTCGAAGGCAAGACGCGCGACCCTGGCGCGCGGCATGAAAGAGGGGCGTCCACTCGTGGTACTTGTCTGGAGTATCGCAACCTCCATGGCCCAAAAGAAGCTTGACAACCTCAGCATGACCATCCCGTGCGGCGAGATGTATAGGGTATTCGCCATTGCTATTTGGCATGCAACGTGCCCCTCTTTTCAAGAGAAGAGATACGACTTCCAAATGACCATGTTCGCTGGCCAAAGCAAGAGGAATTAGATTGTCGTTCGGCGCAGTGAATGATGGCGAGATGCACTGGTCGCATACCAGCACTTGTACGCATTCTGGGCTTCCCCGCAAGGTAGCATAGACCAGAGGGCTGCAATTGTCCACATCAAGGACGTGTGGAGGTAGGGAAGCTTCCAAAAGCCGCTTGCAGACATGCGCGTACCCATGCATCGCCGCATAATGCATGGCAGACCGACCATAAATATCAAGCTTCTTTGGTTGTGATGATTTCTCCAAGCACATATTGACAAGGCGAAGAGCACCCGCGGCAGCTGCTTCGTGGATGCATGTTCGCCCGTTGATATCGTCAACGAAGTCGAAGTCAAACGGGACTGTGATGCTGGAGAGTACTAAATCTGCTAACTCAGGTGGTGCATCGACGATAACCCTCCACAGAACGCGGGTGACATTGATTTTGCCTCCATTCTGTGTACCGAGAAGATCTGAGTGGTGAACAAGATCCTTGATAGAGTCTTCATCCGAGTTTTCCACGGCTTTTCGCAAATCATGCTCAAAATCGCGGAATGGTCCTGCGTACATGTTTTTCTCGATGAAGCTCACGAGATCATGGGCGGCCGGACCTTCAACCTTCAAGCTAGCAGATAGGTCCGTAATATCCAGGAGGCAGGACGCTACGGTATCAGAGAGCTCTGATATGAGCTATTGAAATGCATCAGAACACTTCGAATTAAGCGATTACGTTACTTGCCTGCCTATTGAAGACTGGTTGGACTTCAACTTGCCTGGCAAGGTAGAGCTCCTTCGTTGATGACCGCGACCTCTTATCCCATTTCTTTAAAATTTTCCTGAATCCTGTTGCGTTCATTTCTATGAATTGCTGAAAGAAGTTAGTTCGGATTACACATAACAGTGGTATGACCATTGAAGTACCTGGAGTTTTCCAAGATCCCTTTCGAGGAGGCGGAAGCCCTCCTCAACAGCACTCCATTCGACATGATTCACAGTGAGTTCCTCGGACGTATCAGGGAGCCCACGCATTGCCGCGGCACGTCTCTTGGAGAGCAGGGTCTCCAGCCGGAGCTTTAGCTCTGCTTCTTTCTGCAGGTAGAATGTATTGATCTTGGATTACCCAATAACGTTAAGCCTCATGTAGTGGACACTTTGGTATCAGACACACCTTCTCTAGTTCACGCTCTAGCTTGAAGAAGAAAGCGGCTTTGTGCGCCTGGAAGTCAGAACCACGATCATCGTCTTGTTGAAGAGCAGACAATATAGGTGGTTCGTCCGGCTCATCTTGCGTGATCGGCTCGACAGGATTTAAGGTGTCTGGTTGAGCTGATGCTGGGACCCGGAATGCTAGTGTACTCTTCTGTGAAATAGGTTTCAAGATATCGGCTGGGCGGACGCCAAGGGCTAATGCAGCGGCTTCAGACGCAGGTCGATTAGCAGTAAGGGATGAAATAATCTTCTTGAGAAATTTGTAGTCCAGATAGTATGCAGACCATCCAGGGACCTGTTCTGCCTGTATTTGTTTGCCGAACTACAGATCACAACGTCGGTAAAGGCTCCTAATGGCAAAGAAGGTTGTATGGGGAACCTGACCTTCATAATAGTCGTTTATTGTTCGAGCTCAAGAATTTCAGGGGGCTGTAACAAAGTGGTAGTTGTTCAGACCATGATGGTTGTCCCAAGAAGGGTTTCGGAAAAGCTAACCTCGACTCCCTACTAAATTTGATGCACGTGCGTCAAAATAATGTCGCGGCAAAGTATTCAGATAAATATATGTCCGAGTCGCGGCGATATCAAGGGCTGCGAATCGATAATATTGCTTGGCGATTCTCTGGGCCCGTCGGTGTTCACGCGTTTCATATTTGTGACTTGTCATTGTACAATGTTGCTACTACTAATTCACATGCTTTTATGGAACTCTCAGGAGCTATGCTCGCGCCAGTCCATCAGCCAAGTACCAATCAAGGTTCGTGTCGCACTCCTCGCCCAGAACGCCACGATCTCCTGGTCGGTTTGAGAGATTTGGCAGCGAATGAACCGAGTCATCATTCTTATAGCACCCGTTTGCACGGCAGTTTAAGCTCGTACATGCAATGTACTTCCAGACGCCGCTGAGTTTCAGATTATTTTGAATCTCGAGAGTACACCGTTGTGTTATAAGATAAAACATTTGTGGATGGGGCGAAACTCCGATGCGTTATAATGACTGATTGAAACTTCAGCCAGGCGAACGCAGTAGCGGATCTGTCATGTACTCACTACGAGTAGAGGCCAGCATCGGCGAGTGTCGGGAAATGGTCAACAATCTTGAACCGCCCCTGACATTAGGAATGAAATAACGCTCCTTCAAGAAAAGATAAACTTTAACCCCAGGCCATTACCAAGACGAGCCTCGACGGTATTATCAAGGTCAACTTTGTGAAGGGGCCCTGATATACAGAGCAAACCATCAACAACTGCAACACAGCGTCTGCTCGATAGGAATATCTTCAAGTCTAAGGAAGAGTCACTCACCAGTGTTAATCTGAGTACGAGTGTGAGGACATCTGTATATTCAATCAATAATCATTGGTATCTCAAAGCGAACGGTGCTGCCGATGATCTACTTACAGATATAGCGCGCACAACTTGAAATTAGAGGGAATTGATGGTAGGGGATCGAGCTGGATCGAGTCCAACAAAATGTCACAGTATGTCACGAGTGACAAAAGGTCTACAGTCACAAGTCACATTCGCACCTTTGCCCAGAGAATATAACTTAAAGTCGTTACATTTACCAAAACCTAAAACGAAAACAACAGTCCCTTGTTGTGTTATGCTTCTAGTATCCTCTTTCGCGCTAAAAACGTATTGGGAACAACTTGAAATATGCATCGGAAGTTAGTGGGTCCAGGAACGAAAAGTACTTGCAGTCTCGTTACGTTCGTACTAACAGTATCGACCCCAATCTATATTGCAGCGTTCGTTTGTCAAACTAACCGCCATAAATGCCTAACTGGTGTACATGGCCCTTCGTACACAGCATATCCCGCTACGTCTCTACCTCAATCGCATTGGCAAAGCTCCATCTCCTCATTCTCCCCATTGTTCAGGGAACGAGACAATTACTCACTTCCTCATAGACTGCTCTTTCTACCGCTGTGAACGTCATGCACTCGTCGGCGCTATGGGACGAAAAGCCACCTCCCTACCTAACCCTATGTCTATTCAGCACCTTGTCGGATATATCAATGTAATGCCGAGACCTAGACAGGCGTTTGGTGAGATTCTACTTCCTCGTAAAGCCCCCAGAATGATGCAGCCAGTCCCCTAGCGCTCAGAAGTACACGCCACTAGCAAGACACCTAATATATCTCAATCATCGCCTTGTACCATCGCCGTGTATCACCAAAAGTATCTCATTTGCCTACACGGAATTACTCGCCACAGAAGCGGAATCGGCCAGACAGATCTAGCTTCAGCCGAACGGAACCGTATACCTATTTGCATCTCTCCCAATTCGTGAGTATCTCCTGCGTATTGTTGATTGCTTCACGTGCTGCAATATGAGTACGATCATCGGGTGCAACCTTGAGTGCGAACTTTAAGAACGAGCAGAACAAAAGAATTACGGACAAGATCATAAATTTCACGATTATGGTATCTGCAGCCACCCATCTGATGTGGTCCAAAGATCGATCACTCCTCGAGGTGATGATTCACACGATGAATTTCGTAGAGTAACTCATGATCAAGTCTCGCAGTGCCTGCAATTACGCGTATAGGAAGTATCTCCAATGGGTGAATACTGCCGCGACCATCCTTTCGGGCTGTTGCTACTGCCAGTGGATAGTATTGTTCCACCAAAAAGGCATTTGCTCACCTGGGTTACCCAACTAATAAGCCTGAAGGAAAACTTCAAGTAGACTATGGTGAGGCATATATGTATCTTCCATCGGGCCGTCTTTGACCCGGATGTGTTTTCTTATCAAAGACGGAGGAGCCACGCAATACCCCGTCGTACTTTAGGCTGGCGAGAAGCTTTTCAGGGAAAATACAATTGTTGTCTTTGGGGTGTAAGCTGCTGATCTCATCATCAGAATAATCATTTGGGCAGCCTGAGGCACATCATCACAGATTGTTTCACAGGTTGATAATCTAACTTTGAAATAAGTCAGAGATAGGCCCGGATGACACGAATTCCCTCCCAGACCTGCCCATAGTATAAATTGAACTCAGGTAACAGGCATCCTTGCTAGTAGGGTCTCATCCCAGCCATCTATAATTTGTCTTCATTACATTCGAGCATTTCCTTTTCACTCTCGTTTTTGGGTTCGAAATGATTAAAGTCATTCAGACTGATCTTTCGGCAATTTTGCTTGCATTGCTTACCTCCAATCGGTGAGTTCTTGGCGTTTGGGACTCCTCTACAGAGACCATAATTATTCCTTGTTGGTTTCTCTAGGGGAAATAAACTTGATGTGAGGATCGGTGGTCACAGGGCCATATTGACGAAGTTATCGATGAAATCCAACAAGTGGGCCCTTCTGTGATTTCCATTTCTTAGAGAAGGCCGAACTTGCTGGCGTTCATCAAACTCTCGTCGTGAGCGCTCCCGCGGCGCATGGGATATTGCCATGAGCAACCCCTACTGTCTGCATCCATCCATCGAGTACCTCATTTCCAACATTATGCGAATTAGGACCATGTACTCAATTCTGTATGTGTTCCCTCCCCAAGTGACGTAACCTTTCGTCAGTATGAAATTTTCGCTCCTGAGTCCTGGTGGCATTGACGTCAATCATAGTTCTGTACCTCCCTAGTGGCGTAACGATACCCTCAGTTGCGAAGAGTTGCAAACGTTCGTCAAGTTTATGGGTGCAAACTATCTTAATGATAGTTCAAAACCCCAGATGCTTGGCAAGTTTCTGAGACTTTTTTTATTACATTCCCAAAAATATTTGAATTTGATCAACAATAGCCACGATCCTATTTGTTGACCACGAAGTAGAGGTCTAGCCAAGTTGTGTCGCTTACTGCATGTGTCGGTTCTGCGTTTCTGTGCGCATTTGGGGAATATATTGTTGTCTATATCCAGCTAAACCTATTCGAATACAGTGCATCGTGTATTATTTCATGGCGCAAAGATCACACCATGCACTATATGCGAACTTGTTACACACGACAGCAGGATAAAGTATCATCATGGGTATCCAGACAATATTAATTCAAATGAGGTGAGTGGGCAATGCTGAAGCAACATATAGGAAATGTCGGATTCTAAGGGGGAATCTCACGCGCACAAGGCCCAGCGACTATGAACGTTCGTAGGAACACTCTTTGTGTGATTCTTGGTGGAAAAATTGGCAAATATGATTTACCGATGCAAATACTATGACTTGGGAAGCGAGCACAAACTATACTAAGACCTTCCTGAGCTGCCACGCCTTCGCGGGGAGGAGTGTTATCGGGCAATTACCATGTTGCTCGACGTGGTCGTGCGCGCAGCGGTAGCAGAATACGTAACCAGACGGCAATGCTGTGGCATTGTGAATAGGCTCTTTGCAGAGCGGGCAGTATCCGTATTTCGTGCTGTCGATGGTGATCCCCGCGGGATGCGGTGGAAGGATCTGAGGTGGAGGGATAGTTGGACCGAGAGGGGATATGGATAATGACTGCGCAGGGGAGCCGGGGGAGTACCACCATTCCAAGAATTTGATGAAAAAGATGGCTGTAGGCAAGAGAAGCCTCAAGGAGTCGAGTAGTAGTCGGGGTGATCGCAGCAGGAGCCGTCGAACTACAGCTAAAAATCCGCTCTTTGTTGGGGAAATAACATTTTGCTTCGTTTGTTGTGCGAGCTGCCCAGATGGTATGAGTGCAATGTGAATGACTGGAATACTAAGCTCACGAAATCGTCCATATTGAGTCTTCTGAGATCGACTCCTATCCAAGCTAGCCATGGGCGGTAGAATGGCGTACGATCGAATAAATAGGCCACATTATGGGCGAGAAGCCATGCTTCGAATCCGATGTTGAACCATGGGTATAGCGTTTTGAATGTTCTACGTAAAACGCCTGCAATGCTCTGGAAATACCTGTTGAGCATCACTTTATCGTGAGACAGGACTGCTCACCTCGTCTGTGAGTTGTCGTATGTGCCTTTCGCTACCTCCATCTTCCAGGATATCAGAATCGATGCCTCCGCCGAGCGACTCGTAGTAATCTTGCCCTTTCGCTCGTAGATAAGGTACAGCAATCTGGGCTCACAGGGTGAGGGGCTATCTAATCATCATCGAGAAGACTTACCAGGAGAAATAATGACCGCCAGATCTCGCGACTCCTGAGCTTCTCACCGGCTGGTATTCCGCCAACAGCAGTTGTTGCTCGTTCGGTCGCTATCCAAGGTTTTCTGCGTCTCTTCAGACCGTAAAAATTCTCAGAAAATGATGCGTCTAGTAATATAGATAGCGTACTTGAGTTCACTGTATCAACTTGCCAGACCAGAATACTCACCATGTTTGCGAAGATAATGGCGTTCGACGAAAAACATGATGAAGGCATAAAACTCTTCATGGCGGTTGACTATACGAATCAGATAGCGGGGGTAGCGTTGAGCAAATACCTGGCAGGGGTAAGTAGTTGCAGTTATGTGGCAGATTCTAAGGACTTACTGCGAGTACATACTTTAGAGCTGGTTGAAGCAAGTCACGGAGCTGCTCTTGAGCAACTAACTCAAACAAGGAGGGCTTGAGCGGATCTCCGCCCACGCCGTTGAAGAACTCCATGCATGTAGAGTGATCGTCGTGTTCAAGTTGTTAATTCCGGCTATTCACAGCTTTCAAATTCACGTGGCGTGGCGTCCTCGATGATGACCTGGAAAGGAACGATAGAAGATGCCTAGGTACCCAGTTCATAGTGACTCAAGTTGTTGGTTGAACTGCAACAGTAATTTTGCAAGGTCTATCATTTGTCGAAGACCCATCGTAAGCTTACTTTTGTGGTATACTAGTCGTTAATACGCCAGCAGGCTTGTTAATATATGTTGAATTATCCCTTCACCTTCAAAATTGAGTTGTCGCCGCTGAGCGCTGAGCATGTTCAAGTTCTATTGTCTGGCATGTAATTGCCTCCATCTGGTATAGAACAATCTCTGCTCCCAAGGTCCGTGGGGCCTCAGTCACCTCTTCTTGACATTCCATTGTACATTTTTTTTTCATTCTCATGTTTGCCTCCTTCCACGCAATGATACCCTCAGACGCTGAACTTGCTTCTCAAGCACTCACTGAGGAGGGCAATTATCGTTTTCCGTCATTCTCGGCGTCTGACGCGGTCACGCTTGGTTTGTCTCTACGCAAACGCTTTCGTGCGTCCTCTCGACATTCGAAAGGCAAAGGCCTCGTCATCTCTATACAAACTATCGCGGGTCATACATTATTTGCGTGTACCGTGGGCGACCTTGGTCATCCAGCTGGTGTTGGGGATGTCAGTTTGGATAGTTGGACAAGTGTGGATAGCATGGTTGGAGTCGTGAGGCAGACTGGCCATTCAAGTTATTATGTCGAGAAGAGCATGAGCGCCATGGGCAAGTCAGCAAAACAACTGGGGATTCAAGGAGACCATATCATTCACGGAGGAGGTAAATAACTTTCGCTCTATACTTCTGGAAACGACAAGCCTAAATTTGTTTCCGCTCAGCGTTCCCAATCTGGTTGGACGTCAGTATATGTCTTATTCATTTATGAATTTGAAAAGCTGATTGAGGCTATATAGAACGCTCATTGTTGTCCTATTGCTGTGGTTGCTTGCTACTCAGGCTCAAGCCAAGAAGACCACCATGTATGTCCTCTTCAGAACTTACTCGGTCCAACATTCACACATATATCATTAGCTTGTGGTAACAACTGTGCGGGATTATCTTCACAAAATCAACAAATCAGAAGGCGCACGAATGTCAGCCTCATCTGCTCTAGGGACAGAGATGCATGCGCCTCTCCCGTCTGTACCGATCCGGGAGAGCACGGTAAGCTCATATCAGCGAGTCGAGGTTCGCCAATTCATTAGCGAATAAAGGCATGGCTCACAGATCCGTCCCACAATGCACTTGGTATGAGAAGGAGATCTGAGTCGCCATTTGACCATCATGACGAGTGAGATACTGATAAATGTAACATATATTATGGTGAGGGGTGAAGGGTGGCGTGTAATAGTTATACCAATAAGACGGGTGACTATGATGATCATAGAATGACATGCACTACTCGGAGGTCTCGTTGTGCGAGGGGGCGTGCCTGATGACCCGGATACTTTCTACGAACAAATATTCAGTTACCCAAA